GAGAGCATTTAGACACCACGTGTTTGTTATAGCCCCCCCCGCCCATTCCGGCACTCTCTCGTTTATAGCTCTCTGCGGTTCGATAGAGTTTAAACTGGCCCGCTGACACATGCAAAGAACAAACATTGACACACGCTCATGTTCAACCTCTCAACGCCTACGTACCTACACATGTGGGCACACAAGCTCATGTGCGCACTCAAACAAGCCGAGGGCTCACACAGCGGAGACTGTGGTTGTGTTCAAAATGCTTCAGTTTCAAAGTGCAGTAAAGGGATAGGGCCCTCTGTTTTCCCCCTTCGCAAGGTGCTTGTTCCCTTTAGTGAGTTAATGAGCAAAGAAGGACTTGGACGTGATCTGCAACCATGTGCGCCGTCCTCCCGGTTCGTCAATTGAAGATTTGAAGCTAAATCAGATCTGCTGGTATAATTACAGGCAGGAATCTGAAGAATGCCGTGATCAAAACGGGGCCTGACACTATGTAAAGTGCCCCATGCGGCGGATTTACCCTCTCCAGCAGTGCAGGGCCGGTTGCGGGAGATTGTGACTTTTGAGCCTCGTTGTATAAACAACGCCTCTCCCAAAGTTTGTAGTTGTGGCGTTGCATCACTCTAAAACCCTTTTACAACCCACTTAAACACTATGGACCAATGGGCTCCAGTGTGCGCGCGCATGTGTCTCTGAGGTTTACCATCTACAGCCGATGGCGGGCCGCGCTCTCCTTCACCCAGACACAAAAAAGAGGCCACGTCACTTAATCTGAGGAATTCACCCTGGACATCTCTCCATAAACACTGCCCCCGTGGATCGCACGCACACAGAGACACACTCCTCTGGATGTCCACGCCGTGCTTTGCGGATGGTAGAAAGCACAGCTCCGACATGAGGGTGGCGTTATACTTAAACAATATCCATCCCACACGGCCACAGACAAGCTTCAATAAACTGCCCACATTGCTGACACTCTGCAGTTCTCTGTCTTCGTGCTCTCCGTGTTGTGGCTTCGCCAAAAACAGGTGGTCCTTGTTAATTCCTGACTTGAAAAATGAGTCGAGACAAAGCGTAGCAGGCGTCTCTCCCGATGGTGTTTGCGTGGTTCGTGCTGTAGTTTTACTTAAAGAAGCAGAAACCTCCTTAACACACCCGATCGAACCTCACACACGTCTCTAGAAGAACGCCAGTAGTTTGTTGAGGTGATGAACGGGGATCCAACAAAAGTATCATACACATGGAGACACAGAGGAATATTGTATTTTTCTCCAGAATGGAATTCCAGGTGCCTCGTACCCGACTGAACTCAGCGATGAGATTGTCACACGACAGAGATAAGAACGGCACCTGCGGGACGCACTCTAGAGCCCGTCTGCGTACCACAGCGCGAGCAAACATGCTAATGCTTACAATGCCGCCAACATAGGAAGATATGAACAGGGCTGAATGTTTAAAATGTACAAAATGGTGTGTTACTAACTAACACCAGGAAATTGTGCAGACTGCAGATTCAAATATTCTGCCTACTATATATCAGGGTGGCCGTCTGTATCTGGTTCTCCCATGTGTGTGTGCGCCTGTGTGCATGTGTGTCTGCCTCTAAGTGTGCGTCGGAGGAGTGTAACGTGACACCCGGGTCTCGCAGGAGGGACTGAATCTCTGACCCCATCTGGAGACGCTGACTTCCAGACTGTCTGAAGGCCGGCCTGCTAATGGAACACGAATCCAGATGAATGGGGGGCAAATGTGTACAGACAATAAGCCAATTAACCCCCTGCTGCACATCCGCCTGTGTTGACCCAAATAGAATGAAAAAAAAACAAAATGAGAGAAAATAGCTAATCTATGACAGCGACAGATATTCCAGTGTACGGTTTAGGCAGCAGTGTGCTTAAGGGTTGATGTAATTACACCTTCCTCACAGCTGACATTCTGACATATAATTCCAGGAAACGGGTGATACTAAAAACTCGAATCCCACAATGCTTTGGTTGGACAAATGCTGACAGGAGCATTACGATTACTTTGTGTTCTGCCTCGGTCCTGTTCTGACTCATTCATAATGGGCTACTTCGATACCTTTTGCACCAAAAACATTGCAGTGGCTCGCGTGTCAGATGTCTATCTTACGTGCACAGCTGGATGCACAAAGCTCAAACACACACAACAGGTTTGGGTCAGTTATGTGGAAGGGTTGTTGTGGTTGTTGTTTGTTAACAGTATACAAAAGGTTTAGCATACATTGACACATATATATTATGTAAAAAAACAATTCTGTTTCCACACTGTTTACCATACGTTTTTCAGGGTCTAATAAAAGCAAAGTACATATTTGTATGAATTCATTGTAAAGGTCACTGATTTACAACCGTCTGTGTTGTTGTTGTTGATAACAAGCTACAGCTCCAATGTAAGCTAGGAGCTTGTTTTACCACACTGGGAAAGAAGCAGACTCTCTTCCTGCTTGCTTGCTTTTATGTGCATGTGTACTGGATACATTCTGTATTTAGTATTATTGTAACAAAAATAGAGATGGATTGATCTTCAAATATCTTTCAGTTTTGGCAGAGGTCATAATATCACCACTCCTCCTCAATCAGAGGATTGGATACCGACTGTATCCTGTGTTACATGAACGATGCATCTGGAGAGCATGTACCCATTAAGGTCTGGCAGTGTGGTGCAGCTCCACCCTCACAGACTCTGGCTGGCTTTTAAGTGCTGGACAAGTCTACATGCCAGTGAACACATGTACAGTTGTAATTTATTATTTACAAATACTACCTAAAGTCTTACTCACTCAGGAAAATCATTTGCATTCATCAGGTTCTATTGTAGATGTTTTCCACTCCTTGCAAATTTATTTGTGTCTTTCCTTTGTTTTGAAAAAGCTCTGTGTGTAGGGTGCACATACATTCCTCAGTCACAGCTCCATCTGTTTGTAGGAAGAATGGAGAGGCCCTCGGCAGACCCCTGAGAGGTCTAAAGTATGCCGGCCTCCTGCAGTCTCCAAGCAAACACACTTGAATAGTCCACTCGGCTTCGGCGGGCCGCTTTTTAATTCAGCCTGGGCCTCATGAGAAGGTGAACTGCTTGGACCCCGTCCAGGTAAACGGCTCAAACTAACAGCTACGAGGCCTCAGGAGACAGAACCCTCCTCCCCCCTTTCACTTCCTTCAGCCCGCTCTTTGTTTGTGAAAGCAGCCTTTGATCCGGGGACAGGGTGTCACCAGGGGACATAACAGCACTTGTCCTTGTGAGAAATATGACCACCAGTCTGCCGCCTTTACAATATCCTTAATTTCCCCACGATGACTCATGCAGCTCCCTCCCCGCCTCTCTCTCCCAGTACCGCTTGAAGCTCTCGCGGTGAGGAGAGCCGTCGGCCACGGGGCCAATTCTGCCGGCTTCTGATTTACTGATTGATTTTAGCATTAACGACCAGTCCTCCTCCCCACTAACCCCAAACACACACGGACGCGCACGCTGCGAGTGGGGGCGCACACATGATCTATTCTCAGACCTCTCCTGTGGCTTCTAGATAAAGCAGTTACAAGCTGAGCCACAAGCTGATGTCTTGATAATGAATGGATGCAACAGAGGAACTAGAGAGAATGGCTTTTCTATTTGAGACTTTTTCCATCAAACAGAAAAGGATACCGGGAGTAGTTCTTCAAATCAAATGTAGAGTTAGTTGTGAGCTGTTTCTTACAAAGATTGTCACTATGAATTAGCACCAACCCTGCGAGTTCATTGTGGATTGCGTTGCTTGTTCAGGAGAAACGCGCCCGTACTGACGGTTCTGTGTCTGAGGCAAACTATGAGGCGAAGAAACTATGAAGAGAGACGTGTTCCACAAGCCTTGTTATCTCTTGTCAGGAGCCATCCTAACAAGTGGTGGTAACAATGGACAATAACTGGAGCCGTCCTGGTGTTATTAAAGTGGTTCGCGCTCAAAGTCAGATGTTGACACAGCTGTATGCAAAACTGTCTGGACGCAGTAATCAGAATTTGACCTTGTGCCCCTTCGGCAGAGTCTTGAAGTCACGTAACAAGGAAGAACCACAGAGGGAGTAGATGTTGAACAGCTTAAAAGTTAATTAAATGCTGTTGAGGAGTTTGTAGGGGCTTAGGTCATGTGATCAGCAAAACACAAGACAGAACAGATTCAACTTTAGAGACGTCGATGTTTTGTAACAAAAGGGATAAAATGACCAAGAATACACATTAATCAAACAATGTAATATGTTGTATTAGGAGGAAACCTTATTCCCTTTGTGTTTTCTTTAAGAGTGGAATGAATACAGAACTAAGAACGAGAAGACGACCTGGCAGGGTTTAACCGAGCTTAGTTTAGCATTATTATACTGTGGATGATGTTATTCCCACTATTTTACAGAGCGTGAACCTTTTTTTCGATCTAACAAAAAGGTAAACAGTCTGGTTTGGCCTAATGAACCTGGCACTGCAACTCCACGACCATTTGAAGAGAGAGCGAGTGGACGGACACGTGATCATCTATTGAGGCAGTGCACGAAATCCTCATTCAAGAAACGGCCACAAGCTCCCTCCTCTCCTCGAATTCCATTCTGCCACAGCCCAGCGCTACAAAACAAAATGATCTAGCAGGACTTTATGTTGCCTCTTATATCATTTTCATTACAATGACAGGCGCCTTTTGCACTAAACAAATATTGCTCAGTAACGTTTTTTGTTAACATCTCACGGCCGATAAGGTCAACTGCAGTCTGTCTAAAAGGTCAGGAATTGGTCACTTAAGGTATGTGAAATAAACTTGGGATCACATGTTCAACAGTTAAAGATGGAGGGAGGGCGCCCTCTGGTGAAAGGAGGTTGCATGTGCAGCCTGCATGGGGGCAGGTCTCATGATGGGCTTGTCCTCTATTGAGGCTAAATGACGGTAATCTGTGAATAAGACACTCAAAGTCTTTACCCCACTATCTGAATAGGAGGTGCACATAGAAAAGTTGTCTAATGAGCAAGCAACACACTGTACCACATGCATGTTTATTAAGGGTCAACTTCACTTTTGTATTAAAAATAATCAATTTCAGGTTAAATATTCAATGTTTTACAGCAATGCTTGAGTTTAACACTACATACAGCATATTCATTTTAGCCAAAAAAACGCTCTAGTAAGTAAACAAAGTGCTGCTACATGTGATATATCATCCATTTCACAAAAACACTACATGACGGTTTTGAGCCTGTAAGTCCGCCACTACAAACGCAGGAGGAGAAAATGTTCCGTGGTTACTATCTTGATTGGTCTCTTCAAGAATTTAGGATTCAGAAGAAGATCGAGTCGTCGCAGACTTGTGACCTCCGTCATTGAGCATGAAAAGCGTTTTTAGGTTTTCGTGCACACATTGTCGGTTATCCCATCTGAAACATGATGAAAAAGCGTTCTTTTAGTACTGATATATCAACCCAACCCGGTCTTTTGTACGTGGCCCAGGAGAGACAAGGTAGTCCTTTTCCTCTCAAAGTTACATTCCATGAATGTATAATATTTTATCTTCTTTTTTTTTTCTACCGCAAATCTTTTGCAAGTCTTCCTGGGCGCAGTCCTTCTGATCCTGCGCCTTCTTCTCTGGCGATTTCGCTAAGCAAACTGGTGAAGTATTCACAACTGTAAGGTGGCAGAGGTCTGTGACATTGCGTTGTAAATGAAAGTGTTGTTGAAGGGCACAAACTGGTGGCTGATGATCTTGATGGCCTCTTGAGCCGCAGAACCTACAGAAACACCATTAAACAACAACACAGAGAAACATGTTTAGTTCATCGGCACTGTGAAGCTGAGACGTGCTTTGGTTCTTCAATTTCTGCAGAGAGGAAACATTACCTCCCAAAAATGCTGCAACGGTGTGTGGCTCCGCTGCACCGTATCGACAGCTACCGAAGGGTAATAAAAGTAGTTATTTGCCGTAGTCTTATCCCTCTGACCAGTAAATCAAACCGTGGCCGTGACTCACAACTCATGGATGTAATCGTCTTTGATGTTGACGTTGAGGCTGTACTCCTGCAGGAGGCTGTTCACACAGAGCTTCAGTTTGCTGATGTCGTCCTCCACCTGGTAGTTATACACTCCTGAAAAAGAGAGTAATGGCAATGTGGTAAAAGATGGGGGAGACTCTTTGTTTCTGTATAGCGGCATTGGGAGGAATGCTCTTGGCGGTACCCGGGTAGCGGGAGTGCAGCTGGTAGAAGCGATCAACGGCGCGAAGCATGAGGTAGAAGACCATCTCGCTGTCTGGGTTGTCCATGCTTGAAGCTGAGGGCACACAGCTGTTGTTAATGGGCAAATCATTTAGGAAATGACTTTTGAATTTGAATCGGGGAAGTAAATTTAAAAAAAATCGCCAACTTACTGATTTCATCTTTATTTACTGAATCCACACTATATTCTTCAGCCAGAGATCTGCAGCACACCACTCTTAGAAAGGAGGAGTTCTTACCTAGACACCAACAGTGTAATTAAAAGCTGCTGTATTTTAAGTAGGATTGTTTTCCCCAAAGTATTTATGTACTGTGTGCATGTTTATATACCAATGGATTATAGAATCTATAACACTTACAGAACAGTTTGATGTCCTTGTCAGAGATGCTTTCTGGAGGCTAGTGGAGAATGAAAGTAACTCCATTTTAGTCAAAAACTATTTTAGGGCCCAGTGTATTCTTTTTTTCTGTTCCACTATTTGTTGGATAGCTGTACATCTATTAACCGCCTAAGCAGCCAAGTGCACAATAGCAACAACAGTAATATGGTGACATTAGTTATTGAAATTTTGAGGTTAACTAAGGTTAACCACCTACCTTTCCAATGGACTGTAATAGACATTCTACATGCTTAGAAACAGCCAACGCATCCTGCATGGCCTTTTCCCTGTAACTGAAATCAAAACACACAAAACAACAACAGATTTATTATCTAATCATGACCCGTTAGAAAGAAAGACATAGAACCACATCAGAGTATTTGTCTGGGAAACTTTTCTGTTGCACAAAAGAATCCACCTCGTCGGTTGGCACGCGTGTGTCTCACACTTACACATTCTGAAGGTTGATGAACTTCTGAGAGTCTGCGATCATGTCTGGGATGGTTCCCCGTACAGGTAGACTTCCATTACCTTCCCTGAAAGCAAACTCCTTGACAGCTCGCAGCATCACCCAGAAGGACGGGGTCTGGTAAACAAACAACACAATAAAACAAATGTCTCAAAAACATCGCCAATATAAAAACAGGAGTATTATTTTTAAATGGCAAGTAAAAACCTGTGATGTGATGTTGTTACACGCCTCACTATTGAAGAGGTCTTCGACAGCACTAGGAATCTGAGGAAAACCAGCAAAGTTACCAGAGGAGTTTCCCATAACTGGACTGTTAAACTGTAGAAAACTGTTTGGGTTTGGAAAAGGTGACATGCGTTGAATATTTGAGATCAGGCACCTTGGTGGGATTCAAAGCAGTATTGACATTCTTGATGGCTTCTTCAAAGTTCTCTTCGTCTTCTGGGACACCGTGGTCGTTCTTCAGGATCCCTGAAGGAACAGACGTCCCATATAAATCCACGTCACACAGTTAAGTCACTGAACTTAAAGGCAAATGCAATCCAGCGTTTCAGATACCTTCCCGAATAAACTGTCTGAAGGCCTCCTTCTCCTTGTAATTTTTCGGTGGCTGACTGTTGTGCTACAAAGACAAAATACATTTTTTTTATTAGGCATACATATCAGTTATTGAGTATGTTTCAGGAATTCTGGCGCTGTACCTCACTGAGCCATTGCTCCAGGTGCTTGGCAACGATGATGACCCATGGCGTGTGACTGTGATCCTGCAGAGTAAATAAAGCATGAAATAATATCAAGTTGTGGGATGTGCAGTTTAAACTGACTAATGTCAATAAACAAATGACCTGAATGTAAAGCCCTCACCTTTCTGTCCATGCTGTCAAGATTGTAGGACTCAATGTGGTTGTTCAATTCGGAAAAGGGCTGGAGTAACCTCAGGTCCTCCAAAGCGTTGTCCGGATGGGATTCGATCACTGAAGAGAAAAGCATGGTCACAACACCACAGCTTGTTTGCGCTCAGGCAAGCTGCTGCAAGTAAGAGCGTAGCCTGGACCTCATATTTACTTGTTATTCATCACAGTAATGCATTTGCAATAGCTGGAGTTCTTTCCCAACTGCACACTGAAGCAATATCCCTGTACGAATTATACCAGTTAAACATTCAGATTAAAAGGTTGTCATTGAATGAGTCACAGTGTCATGATTTTATTTATGATGTATTTAGAGACAATGCACACTAATCAACAGGTGTAGTGTAACTATGTCAAAAATGTGAAAAAGCCATGGGTTTAAAGTGTAATGTAAGTCGCTTTCGATAAAAGCGTCTGCTGAATGACCTGTAATGTAATGTAAGTGAGCCAGAAAGTCTCATTTGCATCTGCTGTCCCCGGCCAGATGTTTTAATAATACGAGATGGATTCTAAGTGAATTGTGTTGGACTCACCTGTATGCTCCTCCACCGCCAGTCTCATGTAGCCAATCAGGCCGTAGCATTTACAGACCAGGAAAGGTACAGAGGCACTCCACAGAACCGATGCGAGCCTCAAACATGTGCTGTTGGATATGAGAGAAAATATGACAAATACATTCAACAAAAAAATAAAGCAATATTGAATTAAGCAAATTCAGCAGTATGTGGCAGGAAAACATGGCGCACTATGAAGACGATCCGCCCACATGTAGAATGCTCATAGCTCAATCTATGACAGACGTTTCTTTGAAATTATACTAAAACAATTTAGCATACTATATGTATGAAAATGAACCATATCTCATACCTTTCTGGCAAATGGACCCCAATAACTATGGTAAACCGGTTGAAAAACTCTGGGTTGTTGTCCAGAAGCTTGTTTGGACTCTGCATATGGAACAGAAAACACAGAGGGATCTCTGTCACTATCAGAGAAGTGACACGGACCGGAGGACATGCAGCTTCGGTTGATTGATTACTCTAAATAGCCTGCAGGAGGGACTGAGAGTGAGAATGGATGTAGGTCTCTCTGTGTCCAGCCAGAGATGTATCCTCCCTTTGCCCAATGTCTGCTGGGATCAACTCCAACTTACATTCATACTGAAACAATATTACTTAAAACTTAGATACCAACCTCCTCGACAAAGTTCCCAGAGACATCGCTGTTAAGTTCTTGCAGCAGCTCAGAGGCAGCCTGTGCTCTGTTCTGCAAAATAAAACCTGAGGTAAAACAAAACATGGAGGGATGCGGGTGGCAGGAATGGAAATTGTGCACATTTTTATAAAACAGCATAACATACCTTCCCAATGCTGTTGTTGCTAAGGAAAAAACTGAAGACAAGATCAAGTGAGTGAAGATAGAAAACAGCAAGAATATCTAAGCTTAGATAAAAAGAAATTTAAAAAGTACAGTCTTACTTGTTTCCAACATCTTCCCCAGAAACTGTGTGTCCATCAACTATGGTGAATGCTCCAATACCTGACGAGGAGATCAAATGATGTAATCACAAAGATGCTTCCAGCAGCACCATTGGCGAGGAGCCAGATCCGTTTTACCTGGAAGTACCAGATTCTTCAGTATTTCTGTTCCAGTTGCTGTGGCGTTGATGAGACACACGTGTGCGTTCTCCAGTGCTTCTTGGCCATGGTCGCCCCACAGTCTGAAATATTCCACGCACATTTGTTGCCACCTAACGTTAGTGATACAGTTCATCCTGAACCGCTGTAAAACAACACAGCAAAACCACCAAGCGAGAAAACTGCGGTCAAGCCAGACGGCGCGTTATTTCGCGGTACGTGTGCACACTATTGATTACGGTAGTGGGGTGTAAAAAATGACTTCAAAATAAGAGTAGTTCCACTGAACGTGTCAAACTCACTTAAGTCTCATATATCCATGTGGTAATACATTAAAAAATAGTGGAAAGATACAGTATATGTGATATACAGTCTATAAATGATAACGTTAAACTCAATATAATAATTACTGCATGCAAACTTGAAAAGGAAAAATCAATTGTGTTATTACTTATTCAAATATATTTATAAATAATTAATTTACATAGATCAGAGAATATCATTCTTATGTAGCATTTCAAACTTAAGGCCCTTCAAAATATCTTTTATGAGCCAACTTCTGTTCAATTTCAGATTAGATGTTAAAGGAAATAATCAATAGTTACATAATTTCACTTCAGGCTGATATTACACCACATCAAGGTGTGACTGAATGTCATAGGGTTAGAAGATATTTTGTATAATATATAGGATTGTATATACAATATATTGCATCTATTTCACTGTCTATTTCATTAATTTTTAATGCATTATAACAATTGTATATGATTTACAGACAGAATGAGTTTGACACGTTCTATCACGTTCAGTCGAAGTGATCTTTTGAAGTCGGTCACTACCGTAATCTCCAGTATACACGAGTACCGCGAAACAGCGTTTATCCAAGTGGAGGCGCGCTGGACCGCAGTGCGAGAACGACTAAATCCACCTTGTATCGCGCTGCTACAGCATTAGACCACCGCACACCATTACAACCACAGTGAATAAAGGGTTACGTGAGGTCAGTGACGGTTGTCATTAGACAGGCCGTCACTTCTGAAGGAAGGGCAAACACCGAACATAAAAACAACACATCCTATTAGCATTGTAGCTAACGCTTTAGCTCACCGATGTGGTATTTATAATAACGCGAATAGTGAGCTATTGCTGGCTAACGTTAGCATTGATGCCTCTGCTGGGAACTCTCAAATGAAACCTGCAGGGTATTTAACTAAAGGAACACGACACCTACGGCAAAGTTTAAAATTACCTGAGTTGCCTGTCGTATTTCTGTTCTTTGGAGGCTTTGGTGGCTGCCATGGTATCTTTTCAATGAAGGAAGTCTGAGGACGCATTTAAACTTCCTCCTAAAAAGGCAGATTCGACACAAACATACCCGTGCTTAAATCCGACAACGCAGTTTCGACACAAATTTTCACCCATATTTGGAGAATTTTCCTGGCACAAAAGATACAATTATAACATTTATTTCCGTAATAAAATGATTTTGAAGTTTTTGATTTTAATAGTGAAAGATTTTCTAAAGACTGAGGCAATTTCATGGAATGGCTCATTTTACCTTCAGGACAATGATAAATATATTTCAATTTGAGAAAAGCAACGTATTTGAAAGGTTAGAACCAGAGACATTTAGAACATTTTTGATAGAAGGTGGTTTAAAGATGTAATACTTAACCGAATAAAAATATTTGCCGAATATCTTTCTTAATTAACTTTATTTTTGGAATAAAAACAACAGATAATACATGTTGGAGAAGTACAGAGGACGCAATCACACATTTAAAACAGCAACAATAAAAACACGACAGAAAAAATAATTCAATGTATTAAAGCAGATGGAAATTCTGTGTGACCATTCAATACATATTTGTACTAGTATTTATTTCTAATCCATCCAGTCTAATGGTTTATGATAATTAGTAGATTTATCTCATTATTAAATTATGAAATAGTTCATTTGTAGTATAATACACGATATATTGTATACACTATTTATGTCATCATCCATGAACTCAATGGCGCTAAACTCTAAAACCTCAGACAGGTGTGCGATGTACGCGCGTGTGCGCGTGTGTGTGGGCGTGAAGGGGCGTGTCATAAAGGGGGTAATTGCCATTCCCCTTCGGCTCTTAAATGCCCCTCATCAATAGCCGCATGTACTGATATCCGCGTCCGTCTTCCACCTGCGCACCGGAGCGCCGACAAAGTTTGGTCAGAGGTGAATCCGCTAAGAGGGATGATGACGGGGAACCACTGGGGATATGGAAAAGAGGACGGTAAGATCGCTCAGCACGCAGGGTTCTTTACCGCGTTTCCCGCAGATCCACAGTGGAGGCAATTAACCGCTCATCCGACAATACCACGCATGATTGCTGCTGTTTGTTTTTTCTTTGGGTGGAAGGATATGCGAGATTAATGCGAGATTAGCCGCTTGCTTACAGGGACGCCTGCTGTCACTTTACACCGACTCTCACTGGGCTGTTGAATGCGAGACATTGCATCGCATCAGTGTCACGGACAATTTAAGACGAGTTGCTCCACTTACAGTGGAGCCTTGTTTGGGATGGAAGAGACCGTTACGAGTCAAGGGATCCCCGATTCATGGCTAATTAAGTGGTCTGGATTTTTTTAGTTAATGGTTTACGGTAGCTTTAAATTAGCTGTGTTGAATTAGAAACACAAATGTTCTATTATTATATGATAATATATCTATTATCTTTTTGATTTCTCATGTTTTTCTTTCTTTTATAATAAGGTCCTTCTGTCTGGCACAAAAACTACCCGGTTGCCCAGGGGGACCGGCAGTCTCCCATTGACATTGTCCCTCACCAGGCTTCACATGACCCAAGTCTGGATCCGGTTGTCCTAAACTACGATCAGTGTACCTCCACCAAAATCAGCAACAGCGGAACCTCTGTTGTTGTGGAGTTTGACGACTCGGATGACCGCTCAGGTGAGAATAATCTGCTCTTTACATGCATTTAATTAATTTACAGTTTACACTTTCTATTTTTTCTTGTGGTTGAAGAAAGTGGGAAATCTTCCTTCCTAACTAACTAACTAATCAGTTAAATCTGCACAATCCAAAGGTCCCTCTGGTCTCGATGTGGTGAAAAACTTGAACCACACTAAAAACAGAAATGATTATATTGATGTAGCAGGATTTAAGACTAAGTTAGAAAATCCTCGACCGTAATCATTAACAGAGATGACAGTTAAGGGTTAAGCTGTTGTCAGCCACATACAATGGGAATTGTATGTGCAGGTTTGCTTTAAAAAAAACAAAAAAACATAAGCTTGAAAGTTGGGATTACCTTGATTTGCAAACCTTGTGCATAACTGACCATAATCGAAGGTTGCAAATAAACCCCTGATTATGCTGCAGGGAAATGCAGCCAGCAGTTAACTGTATGAGCATCTGTCTGCTGGACAAGAGATAATAACCTCAGGTGATCTCAATGGTTATTATGACCCCATTTGCTTTTATCCCTGGGTGGATCCGTGTTAACCACCCCGTCATTAACATGAATAATAAACTCCGAAATGTTGGTCTGTTTGGCTCAGACAGTTTCCTCAGAGCAGGCGAGTCGCATCACCAAAGGGGATTAATGAAGGTGCAGACCTAATGCACTTCCTCAGCACTTCTCCGCTGTTCTAAATTAACCGCACAAATCCCCTAAATCTGCTGATGTCTGTTCGCCTCATTTTGCTTGTTTTCATATATTTACACATGGCGCTCTGTTATTCTCTTGGTAGGAAAATGAGAATGGAATAAAATATCTGAAGATATTAATATAGAATTATGCAATGAGCTCAAATATCTGTCATTGTTCGATGCAGTTGATTATAATTGATGGATTTCTCTCAGCTATTGTTATTAATCACACCGTTCTTATTTATTTGAATATGGACCAAATCAGCATTTTGCTCCTTGTTTCATTCATGCCTCACTAATCTGACCCGGACCGGTGTGGCCTATTTGTCAGAAAGATGTCAGCAGCATCACGATGAATAACCGTCAGATTAGACTGGTGCTCGTACCCGGCAGCGTGAGCCATAGGCTCTCATAACATTCTGTGCTATTCTGATGATGGGCTGAACGTCACCGCGACATAAATTCAATGTAACCGCTTATCCTTGCCAATTCTTGGAATTCAAAGCTAAAACCAAGCTAACTGGGTTTTAACATTGCTTTAGTTTGCATTGGATAGTGTCTGCAACTAAAGCTTGTGTAATAGAGCTCTTCTCGTCTCTCTGCCGGTGCTCACGTCTCCGCTTGGCGTTTGAATGGAGTATGCTGGGCTGCAGTGGTGCAAAGCTCACAGGACGATCTGCATAGCGTTCTGCTGGAAAGCAATTTGTCTATCACAGACAGACGGACATCTATCTTTTTTTTTTCATTTTGTTTCTCTTTACGTCTCATCTTCTTCAGTGATCCGGGGAGGCCCCCTTGACAACCCCTACAGGCTAAAACAGTTTCACTTCCACTGGGGCGGAAAGGGCTGCCATGGCTCTGAGCACACTGTCGGAGGAAATAGCTACGCTTCTGAGGTCAGTGTCTCAATACTTCACTGTGTCAGCATCCAATCACCAAATCCCAGAATTATCCATTTAGACTCTAGTGTAATAAGATAAATGTGAGAACATATTTTGGCATGAAATAAAACCCATCCTCTTTCTTCAGATTAACGTCTTTTTCATCTCAATGACTTGAGTTAATATAGTTCACTTTAAAAGCCAGTTCTGTTTGTTCTATTTGCCCTTCTAGCTTCATTTAGTACACTGGAATGCTGTCAAGTACAAGACGTTTGGGGAGGCCGCAACTGCTCCCGATGGCCTCGCTGTCCTCGGCATCTTTTTAGAAGTAAAATGTTTCTCTTAAATTCATTTCCATTTTTCATCCCTCCACATTGTCAGTTTTACAGTTGTTTTTTTTCCCAGAGTCAAAGGTGGAGTTGCGTGTTGTCTACTCATTCCTTTTTACTTTTGCATTATTGGCACTTTTTTATTTGCAAACAGAATGGTAGTTCAGTAATCACAACTACCACTTCTTCTTTACCACATCACGTAAGACAGGTGACGACCACAGATGGCTCCACGTGATTACCGACGCTCTGTACACGGTGAAGTACAAGGTGAGCCCTAGACGGGATTTTACTCTTTTTAGTTGCTCTCAGCATTGTTACTGCTTTATAAAAGCGGTTTCCTTTTTTAATTTCTGTTTCAGGGTAGTGTCGCCGATTTCAAAGGTTTCAACCCCAAGTGCCTGCTGCCCAGCAGCCTCCACTACTGGACCTACCTGGGATCCCTGACCACACCCCCCCTGCATGAGAGCGTCATCTGGGTTGTCTTGAAGGAGCCAATCACAGTGTCGGAAAAGCAGGTGTTTGTTTTAATAAATGCACTGCAGTAACTGTTTAATATTGCAGGTTACGTGGCAGTGACTGATTCACTGTATAAATCTAAAATCCTGTAGTGGGGAAAACCTCCTCTCCGCAGGTTCTATTTCCTTGACTAAAACTGGATCTACCACCACTGCTGGGAAAAAAAGACCGGTCCAAAAGGCTCCTACAGTTTTACAAAAGTTTCAAACATCTCTCATTTCCAGAAAGGTTATAGATCTGTTGTTATATAGGTATATATATGATTAATAGCCATTAATCTGTACCCATATTTCTATGAATCTTTCAACATGTAAATGTCAGATTGTGATCTAATGACGAGTTTGTACCTTGAGACACGCTTTAGCTGTAAGTCAGTGGCGCTCCGTTGAGGCTGCAGTGGATCATTTGGCTGTAACATCCATGTTTCCTGGCCTGCATAATGTTTTGCTATGCGCCGATCCAATGCTGCTTGTGTGCTCAATACAAAATTGAGCGTCCGTCTATCTCTACGCTGTAGCATGTGCAGATATTCACTCAGCAGGTACTGAGGGACCAGTACATGAGCAAGCATCATACGGGGGGGCAGGCTGACTTGTTTTACTCACCCACTTTTGCGCTGACTTTAATCACAAAGTTTAGGTCTAGTAACTCCCATGTTGAAGACTAGTTAAGCTGTCTAACCTGAATGTCTGTGCCGCAGACATCCAGGTCCCTCTGCGAGCGGCTCCTGTGGAACTGCTGCCAGCTTCTGGATTGTACTCCCTCACATTTGTAACTCTCTGAACGTACACAAGGAATCAGGAGTCTTAATGGCGGTGGCACCTCGGGTGTAGTCGTCTGTAAACCCATGTTCGTAGCATCGCTGGGGGGGGTGAGGCTGAAGCTAGGCGACTGGCCTCTCGACCTATGACTCCGGTCTCAAGCCTTTGATCCCCTCCAGCTGATTATCCTGATGGACAGATGGCTGGATATGTGCAGGGCTTTAATTGAGAAATGCTCGTATGGAGACACAGCAGGGCGAAGCCCTTACATAACAGGGTATTACTTCGTTTTTTTTATTTTTTTTATTTCCCCTCATAATGGCAAACCTAGAGGTGGAAGGGAAATGGCATAAAGAGGGTCGTGTGTGTGGCTGGTTTTCAGTTTTGAAAGTGGCATAGAGAATATATATGCTAAAATTCAGCAGTTTGTAGGGAAAGATTAACTGATTGTTGGTGTTCGTTTAAATAGGAATTTTCTTTTTGACAGTATCACCAGTGTCCGGTATCAAGCTGATGCTGAACAACAGAAATGTAATTGATAAACTATAATTTACGGATAACGTTCTTTCTGTCTCTCCAATGTAGCTGGGCAAGCTGAGAACGCTTCTGTTCTCCGGAGAGGAGGAGAATGAGAGGACGCGCATGGAAAACAACTTCAGACCTCCCCAGCTTCTCAAAGGCAGGAAAGTGCGTTCCTCCAACTAATGTGACCCCCACAGGTCTGAAGTCCTAGATTACAGCGGCTCTATAAAATGCATTGATATGATTGTACTTACCTTTATGGGTATTTTTGTCTGAATTGACTTTGCACAGAAGAGTAATTCTCATCACTGCCAGCTCATTGACATGCGTGTGTCCTCTTCTGGTCAGAAGCTTCAATGGCAGAGCGACGCATCATTTTTAAAAATGTTTTAGGGACAACTGAAAGTGATACAATGAAGCAATATAACAATATTAACGTTGCAAGTTTGTTATTTGACTAAACAGTGTTAATATCTGACATTATTATAACAAGCTACATGTAATGAAAATTCAAAAGATGAATGTGTTGCAAAAGCGAGCGCTTGTAAGGTGCTGTCATATGAAACCAATACATGCAGACTGGTATGATGCCATTCTGCAGATACACAGCCTTGGCCTCCTTACTGATCTCGATTGATCCCTCGTTCCAGCCCTTTGCTGTGGGATTCCCAGTCCCCGTGAGCATAGATCCCTTCCAGTCCAGCAATCCCAACTGAGAGGGGGTCCCTTCGGCCATGACGTAAGGCATGGAAATCTCTGGTCCTTTAGAGCTCGAGCGACTTGAAATATCCGTCAGCCAGCAGGGTGATAGATTTTCTTTAAATCTGGAGGCCTTGCTAAAGATAATGGCTTCAGATATTTCTCATGTGGAATTCCTTATTTATAGGTACTGCGGCTCCAACAAAGCTGCCGATTGAATTCAATATTTCAAACAGTGAATCTTTGGCTTTAAATTGCAGTGCTGCTGTTTCTACCATGCAGGAAGTGACGCCTGGAGCCGCACTCGTAAACATGCAGTCCAACATGTAAATGCTGGGTGTCTCACTTGGGAGAGTTATGGTGACTTTGTCTAATGCAGGTCCTTATTCAGAGGGACCCAAATATTTTTAAGGTACAGCAGTAATGGACTTATTTTGTTTCGATACAATAAACACTGGCAGTTATTTGTTTCTTTATGTGAAAGAACATTACAATTGTAGTTTGAGTGGTTTATGTATTTAAGGTTTTAAAACCTATGAATTAAATAAATGAACTTAGGGTCAGTCTGTTTTCCCAGCGTAATATGTGAAAATATACAAACACACACACACATCTTTTTGTATTGTCATATTGATCATTTGGGATATTCTAACAGTTTCTTCTCTTAACCAAACGCAGCAGATTTTATTTTTATTCTCTGTCAAAACAAGACGTTTCTGCCAGCAGAGTACAAGCATTGTTTGCCTTCTTCGTTTAAGGTGCGATCCCTGGACCTTGAACCTGGTATCTACGATAAGAAAGGAATTGAACCAAGGAGTCCTCCGCTCGGGGTAATTAGTAGCCAGGCTGTAGCCCAGAGGGATGAGGGTTGAACAAGTGGGACATGGACTGTGATCAGTCAATTATTTACCAACTGCTTCAAGTTAGCCATTTTTATTTAGTTCTTACATTCACCCTTTTGGACCTTTTTTATAGTTTATAATATCGATAGAACATTGTAGTACACCCACGTGCATGTACAACGTGGAGGGAGGCTGTTCGAAACACACGTACAGGAGCAAACAGGTCTGTCTTGGTTTTCTCAACAGGACAAATGGAGAACGAATGTCCTTGTATCCATTAAGTGCCTCATCTGTTGGCACAAATGAGATGCGTTGATTATTATACAACAATCCCAATAATATCATATACATACAGGTAGACTCTCGACTCAGATACACAACCTGGTATTTAATCCGAATTGTAAAAATTATTTGAACTGAAATGGAGATTAGTTTAAACATATAAACAGATCTTTGTTTTTCTATGGTTGGTTATGATGAGAATATAGCTAATAGTATTCTTTTTTTTTTTTTTTCTTAACTAGCGAGAGTTTTTGAATAATGGAGCCAGAGGTAAGGAAACCACGTCATATAGACTCGTTTAAATGATGTTTCTGTGTTTGCCAATGGATTGTACTTGTGTCGGTCGTCCTGTAGGTGGCAGCATCTACTCTCCAGTACCACATGCAGCGAGAACTGTGGTTTGCTTTGTTCCGGTTTAATTTCAATAAAGCAAAAATAAACCACAGGCATCTTGGATGCACAGAAATGGCTTCAGGTGAAAGTGATGTATTTAACAGAAAATGACTATAGAAGTCACTCATTTCTTGCATCCAAGGAGTCAGCTATCAAATGTGCCCACAGTAACACTCGACCTTGCCTTTGTCCGGCCTTCGTGCCACTAAGTAGCGTTGGTTTGATTCAAGAGGTCGCATTACCCTGTCTGGTTTCATGTCCATCTTATTGCTGATGGCTGTGGAAATAAACAGTTGCAGGTTAATGAATAAAGAATGAAAGTGGGTATGAGGGAAGTATATTTAAGACACATTGTCAAATAATCCTTCCAAAATAGCATTAGGGAGCTTTATTGAGACTGAGAATACCTGAGCAGGCACATCATCCGCAGCCACAATCGATGTGCCATGTAATATAATATCACAGTCAGATCTCAGAAATAGAGTCAGTCACACGTATTTTTAGCATCAGGATATCTACTTGCTTGCTATAGGGATTTTTCCCAGACACAGCAACATCTGAGCCACTATGAAACACAAACCTACAGGACAAATTAAAAAAAAGAGGTTGCTGGTCAGGCAGAATCCAGACACACTACATTTTTTTAAGAAGGTCTGCATAACCAATGTGTTTAAATAATGATATAAATAGAAATTCAGAGTGACCCTTTTTGCTGTACGTTTCAGTGCAAATTTACCAACCACTCGTCCAACAGACATCGCCCACCAGCCCTGACACACAGTTCCTCCACCTCGGAAGGAGAATTTGAATTATAGCGCCAACAACACTCCAATCCTATTTCAATATTGTATTTAACCACAACCGAGAGCATGAAGTTTGGAAGATGAAGGCATTTACAGGACAGAAAGAGATTATCTTAAAATAATGCTGATTTAATTATGGAAAGTGTACAATGCAGTGTTTTGATCCCGCAGTAGGTAAGTAAGTAAAATATTCCCCCTTTGTTTCTTTGTGTTGATCCCTAACTGTATGGTGGGGAAATACAAAAATGCGCCAGACACTTTTAATTAAGGTAAATTCAAATTGGAATTTTTTGCTGTTGAACTGAAAAGGCTCAAACCACATGTTCCACCAATATCACAGTCACTACTTCATTAAACCCGACTGCTTTATCAAATCTTCTAATCTCACCATTTAAATATCAAGCCACAGTCTACTCTTAAATTAAGCTGTGAACGGGACCCATTATTCCTAAATCCTTTCAAAGTTTTCCAGTGTTGTCAAGGACAGGGACTCTATCTGACAATCAGGGGACAAGACCAACGATGCTGTTGCCATGGATACAAACAGCACATTAAGCACAACACAATTGTTGGCCAGCTCATATCTCCCCCACTTGTCTATGAGCCGGTGATCCATCGGCATCACCCTCTCAGAAAATAAAACATACTACAAAAATATCTGACCCCTTTTCCCCCCTAAACACCTCTCTGGTGACACCCGTGTTTCTGTATTCATTATGGAGCTTTATTTAGCAGCAGGTTATCTATTTCTCAGTGAACAGGCCTGTGATGTGCAACTTATTCTATCCACGCGCACACACACGCACACACACACACACACACACACAAACACCACCTGCCTATCCGGGATGCTGATGTTTTGCCTTCACCCCGGTTCATGGTTGGGGTTTTAAGGTTCAATTGTAACAACTATATACACCTTTCATGGGTTGTGTATATACACTAAATACCAATAAGGTTGTCAGGCAGTGGCCTTGGTTCCCAGAGTGGATTATAAATCACAGTAGAGGAGATGAGGTGAGGTTCCTTCTCTCGGGCACTCCGTTGGTGGTCCGTTATCATAATTAAAGAAGACACAGCCGCTCTGCGATGGGAGAGAGGTCGTAATCTGTAAGTCTATACTTGGCTGTCAACTCATGTAGAATAAAGCCTCTGATCTATGGATCATGTTTCAGACAGGTTGTGTTATCTCCCCCCGGCCTTGGTGTTTATTTTTTGGCCTTATCTGTGCCTATACTGTAAATGTTGACTGAGAGGCTGACATTCAGTTTCGCACCCTGACCCCCGACACCTGATCTTCACAGTGTGCGCTTACCCAGCATTGAGTCATGACATTTTCTGGGTCGGCAATAGGCACCTACATGGTCTTCGGGGAACTTGTCTGACTCCACACGGTGACCCTTACAGTCAGTCCAAGATCTCAGTGTTTGCAAAGGGTGTCCATGGCAACACACACAGCCAGCGCTGCATCACGGCTCAGTGGACCCTGTTTATTTCATCCACCGCTGTTTAAAATCAGTGGCTGACACATTTGGCTCGCTGAATAGATTCATCAGCCTTTCTGTAACAGGCGTAATAGTCGGATATTTAAATCCAGGTTGATGAGAGTTTATGTAACCCAATGGTCACAGACACACACGAGTTCAAATTTGCTGGCAAGTCTGTTTTTCGCCAAACCGCTTCCCGGACTCAATGTTAACACGATATATTTAAAGGCGTCGTTTTTGGCTCCACTTCCGATTGTTTTAATGGTGTACCATCGAGCTTACCACCATATACATTTAACTAAATTACCTCTGCTGACCATTTATTTTGAATGAATAAATGCTGATTATTAGACAGCATAAATCTGACCTCTTAGAGGCTTTAGAAAAACTGTAAGCTTGTGAGACTGACTTACACACAGTGAAGCTTTGAGCTAAATGTCTGCATGTTCATAGTGACAACAATAACATGTTGATGTGTTGCAAGTAAAATTGACCAGATTCCTCATATTAGTTTTACATTTCAGCATGCCAAAATGTCTTATTAATTAGCGCTGGACACGTACCAAAGCTGAGGCTGATCTAATTGTCATTATTTTTTGCCTGTATTTTATACCAACAAATTTGGCAAATTGACATTTTGATTTTTTTTGTGGTGCTAGAGAAAAAGGTTAAGTGATCAATTATCTGCAATCTATCCAATGATTTAGTTCACTTGACTCAAAACGACAAGTGTTAACACACTTGTGGCACTAGAGGAAGAGTCGTTGGATTACCAAAACCAGTAAGATGAAGTTCTGAAGAGCACGGATGTCTGTTTTTGAGGCATTGCAATCGGAAACAAAAGTGACAGTACATCTCTGGTGAAATATAACAGAGGGTAAAGACGAATGAAGTCAGGTGTATTTATTTGGTCCACGAACAAATCCTTTATTTCATTTCAATTCAATTGAAGCCATTTAAGCAGACATTCCCAAAGCTGATTACATTTCCTCCCCATATAGACTAACTGAGTGACCTGACAAATGAATGTGTCTGACTGGGACAGACCCGTACGATCATCTGTACTGTGTGTCTCTCTGGGTTGCCTCCAAAAACCTCACCGGCTTTTGGCAGGTTTGATCCATCCTCCATCTGCTATCCGCCACGACTCCCACAACCAACCACCGCCAACACATTCGAGTCAAAGGGGTCATCCATGCAACCAGAAGCGTCACAAGTTTCCAAGATCTCTGCCCCCAAGTCCACTGGGTCAGAAATAGTTCCCGTCAGGCTTTTTTAAATCAGAGTGTTTCTATAAAAAGGCTCCGGCTGACCAGAAACCTGGGCCGAAGCCACATCACCCTATCTTTAGCTTTATTTATGTCCTGGTGTTGACAGCGCCACTTGCAAAGCTTTCCAGTCACCGCTCAATAGGTCACATGTGTGCCGAACCCTCGGCCCGATGTTGGAAAGCACCACGGAGTAGAAGCGGTAATCAGTGGGCCCACAGTGCCGGCCAGCCCGCGTCCCAGAAACAAGCCGCCTAACAGCTGCCGAGTTAACGGCTTGATGGTTCTTGCCCTCAGATTCTTTCCATCCACTTAGTGTTTATGGAGCTCTCATCTGATGACAGATAAGCATGTCCACTATTGTGAAATGGCGATTAGCTTTATGTCACATGACTACAACTATTGTTACAGGAAGGCGGCAAAAATAGAAGCACCCATAACTGTGGCTTTCTTTGACTAATGTCACCTACTGGCTGCCAGTCAGTCATTGGGAAAACGCCTTATTCAAGGATTCAAAAAAAAGACAGTGTTATGAGAAAATAATATTTTCAATTTTAATATTATTTTTTAAAATGAATAAGACATGAAATGGACCTCAAGATTGATACAGACAAAGATGAATCTAGAGTGAAAACCAAGAACCTGAGGAAGATTATTATGTTCGGCTCTTTAGCTTAAGTAAATGAAACAAATATATATTGTTTAACAAGGTAGTTAGATGAGCCATTGATTGTCTTCAGCACTTAAGCGTGTGGAGATTTAAGATTAGGTGTATTTACAGGAAATACGACTATGATCTGGCTCACAGGTAGAATTTACTTTTGTTTTTCTTATCAATTAATTGTTGATAATAAAAGAATGAGACGTTTTCAGTCTGTTGCAGCTAAAACTAAGTTCATTAATTTCAGAGCAGTTGTATATTATCTTTTGGCAATGAATGAGGTATTCGCAGTTTATTTTTGGTTTTATCTCCCCTTTCACCCAATGCATGCTGGGAAAACTATGAAACATCACCCCCTAAACGTGCTGGACAAACACATCATCAGGGTGCGCCTTTAAACACTCCCTATACAGAGACGCAGCATGAAGTTACCGATCAAACAGCAATTCTTAAAACTGCTGAAACTCTTTTGGCAGCCTGGTATCCATCAGCTCCGGGCGCCTCGCGATAGGTGCTCACTTCTCCTCCTCGACCCTTCCTCTTCCATCTCCCTCTCCTTCTAATCCCTCACTCATGCATTTTGGTGAGAACATTTTGGAGCAAAATCTCATCCCACCCAAGCTACAGTTCATGGCTGATGGCGTTCAGAGTGAACACAGACAGTGTAGGTGGACTCTGTGTGTGTGCGTCTGCGTGTCTTAATGTGTGAGGGCCTGTTGTTTTTTCAGCATCTCGCTGTAATGATTTCTTTAAACCATGTGGTGAAACGGCGGCCATTGTTTCTATTTATAATCCCCCATTCAACATTACATTGTATATGTCCTGAGTGTAACAAACTGTATGTCAGAGCTGGTGGATGATGTTTGTTGGAGAGTGATTGGAAAATGTTTAGATGTAGTGGTTCTGCTGTTAATTTGCCTTTTCTGCCACTGCCACTATCAGGAGATGGAGGTCTGTGGTTGATCTGTAGTGGCTTTCGCTTCATTACAAGACTGCTGATATAATGTGGACTATTTCCATGGAAATGTTAAGCAATTACAAAAACAATGTACTTAATCTACAAAATCACAATTCTATGTAGGTTGGGAGAAAGTGGACGGAGTGTTCATCATGCACGTAGTTGAACATTCAGCAACAAGTGACATTGCAATTTTATAAAGTGGAATCTTACCCAAGTGAAAAGACACACAAAGGGTTCTATGTTTCCATAGAAACTGGTGGCTGGGTAATAAAAGCAAAGGGGTGGAGGGAATAGAGGATGATGATAAGAAAGCTAATTTCTATCTTCTTTGTTACCTTTTCATGTCCAATTCCTTAACTGTTCTTCCAGAAGAATAACACACGGTGTATTTATCCAACCAGTGTCACCTGAGTAACTGACGTTTGCAGCGATGAAGAGTTTCATGCGATGCAATGACAAATGAATAATAATTCAGCAAACCTTCAGAAAACGACTGACTGCACTGCTGATCTTCCACTGAGCACTTTTGAAACCCCACGTACTAGAGGGCGAGAGCAGCGTTTTCACAGTGCATCGTGAATGACTGGTTGGCTTTCATATATTCCAGCTGCTTCTGCAAATTGTTGATTTCCAGCTTCCTGTCTTGCTGGCCTGAAAAGTAGGAGTGATCACAGTCTCTCAAATGCTATAAATAGAAGAAATGACGCAAACGCTCTGTCAAATGTCCATTTCACATGACAAGCAGTTTATATTGTTTTACTGTCCAGGATATACAATTACTGCATTGAATGAATAATAGAAAATAAGAAAACGGTGGCCCTTTGTTATTTTGGGCTTTATCTCTATTTCAATTGTCAAGTGTCCCAGCAAGCAATTCTGCTGCAAAACAAAACTTCTCTTTATTTGTAGTTGTTGATAAATGAATATAATTTTTCGAAAGGAACACTATGATAGTAGAGCCTATATAAAGAAAACTTTCATTTGAGTAGATTTTTAAATAAAATGTCAAGTACAATCACCGCAACAGCTGTACTTAAGTAGAGTACTTGAGTAAACCTACATACTCATATAGCAAACAGGAATAAAAGCTCCTTGTGATGCCTGTGAAAAAGTTTAAAGTTGACCGAAGACCGGATTGTATTTTATATTTTGATTCATGATTCCTTTCGCAATGACACGCCTGTTGATTGATACTCCGCCATATTGACTGTTTGAATAATGTTACCCTGATAGTGCACAGCTGGAGCACATCCAACACAAACGTAACGCATCCCTGACTTGCGTCGCTGTTTTGCAGCTGCTGCCTTTCATTGAATCTGTGCATTGCACAAATGGAAAGCCTCCTGCCAGTAGTTGCAGGTGTTTTATGTTAGTCAAACATGATTTACTGAAATTCAACTGTGGAACGACTAAGAGCTAAGTTCTAACACACTCATTTGCAGCATTGCAGCATTTTTGGTCAAGGGGGATGATTTCTTTTAACCTTTTTAGATGTTAGTTGAAGATTTACAAAAAACAGACATCCTGAGTGCTCCTCTCCCTTTCCGGTTTTCATTCCACAATTATTAAAATGAAAATGCCAATAATGAATAATTGGTACTAGATGATAAAAAGAAATTTGTGATCAAAGAAAAAAAAATTAAATTCCACATCAGCACTGTATATGGATCTATGTCTACTCTCTGTACGTCTGTGGAAATGAACATGAACAACAGCAATTCACTTTCTGATTTATCCTTCAGTTGGACTGATGAACATGAGAAAAACAACTATGAGGGGTAAAATGTTGCAGTTTTTACAGATTGATGATGGACGTCCAGGTGACTACGGAATTACATCTTCTGTTTGTTCTGTTTACTCGGTTAATTGTATTTATGGTTGTTAGTTGCTTGGGTTTGGTTTTGCTCTGCAGGTTTTATGCCAGTTCATTTGGTTATCATTTTTTAATAGAAACTTATGGTGAAATACTACATACATACTTTTTACGGGTTTAATGTATTTGATGGGCATCCTGTCTTTTAATATCTTGTTAATGCCTTCTTCAAAATAAATACTGTAATCTTTGGGAATCCTTGGTCTCAATCTATCCGTCACTGCCAGACTGCCGACCCGGCCTGGTCGTGTCCCGTGCTCACATTAAGAAAGTCCATCTGATCGCATTTACTGGTCAAGAGGTAAAAAACATTTTCTTCCGGCTGTGAAGCAAATCCACATCTTCAAAATGTTCTGAACCCCACAGGCGACATTTGTACTGAAAGTTCACCAAATTAGTGAGCGTCTCAAAGTGTCACATTATAATAAAATGTCCTGGAGCAGCCCGGATACACAGAACGCCTCTGACAGCGACAAATGGGAAAATTGTCGAGTTTGGAGTGAAAGTGAAAGCCGTTTATATTAAAACAAACTAAAAATAGCCAAAGCGGTGGGGAAAAACCGAAAAGGGTGAGGAGGGATTAGGAAAAATACTTCTGTGTGCCTGTAATCGCGCAATGGAAAACTGGCCAGTCGCTTGGGGGAAACGGTTCTGTCCCTGAGCGTCCATCCATATCAAACATCTGGTGAATCATCTCATTTCCATGAAGTGATCGGAACGCTTGCCCCTGTGTCTCTGGGTCACTATCTAACTATCTCTGTCCTTGGAGGATACGTTGGAACCCATTTAAGCAAAATGTGGACGCTCACTAGGTACCAAACATAACATGTAACCTCATGTCATAAACGAATCCCTTGCTGTCGGCTCCCTCATCTCCCTCTGGGTCCTCCTCAGTGTGCTTTTCTGTGTCTTGGAGCTGTGTTGCTTCTATTGGAACAGCTAGCCGGAGATATAAATAGCCTAATATAAATCGGCAGTGTGTGCGTAGGCATCAGCATTGTCTGTATATTTGGTGAGTCATTGCACATTGAAATGTCCGGTTGAGTGAGCATCTAGCCTTGACACATGTGTTTGTAAGAGTGAATAATGTCAATGTGGTTATTTTTATTAATTTCCACGTCATTTATTGCAAGCAGCCGAAAAAACATGTTTGTTTGCTGATTTACTCCACAACAGTGTGCAACCCTGAAAAAAAGAGATACTGCTGCTAACCTTCACAAAGATGAGTGCTGCTCCTGTGTACGTCATCCATGATTTGAGATGATATAAGGTGCTTCTTGACTAAATGAAAAATAGAAAAACATAACGTGTATGTTTGGGTAATCTATTGCTCACGCTAAAGTAAATTGTGTACATATAAATTAAACTTTTATAGATGATGAAAAATGTCACAACATTAATATAGCCGTTTCTAAACATTGAATTTGGTTTAATGAACATTTGAAAAGATCATAAAACATAACAAAATGAATGATGGCTGAGTTTGATTAAGCTTCTTCAGGTTCAGGGTGCTGATATTGTTCATCGGTCACATCCCTTAGAGGTGCCCTTCAATATTACAAAGCAGTCGTTGCTATGTCACCTATTCGGATATGAAAATGTCTGTATTTATTTTACGGGTTATTAGGATTTAACTAATTGCAGTTGCAATAGCAAAACTGCAGTTCAGCCATTTGTCGTAGTGGGTAAACGACAGCGACAGAAACTGGACCAAATGAGGGCAGAAGGCAGCAAATCATTTTTATCAAGTCAAGCAAGAAAACAAGGATATCCAAAAGAGTGGCAGCAGGACATACAGTACAAAGCACTGGTAAAAAGAGCCACTGGGTCAGACTCCCGCCTGCCGGCACAGAAACTAGCAAAACACACACTGAATACACAAGGAACTAATAAACAGGTGTGGAGGAACAAAGAAAGGTAACAAAGACAGTTGGGAAGTAAAACAAGAACAGAGACAATAAGAGAGGACTTTCCAACTAAAACTGGGAACAAACTATAATACAAAAAAGTTGTGCCGTGTCGGTTTTTGGTTTATGTTAAAGTCACTGTTTAAACGCTGTCATATTGCCTTTGATTAATATTATGATATTATATATATTTTGGGGGCTACGGACATAATCATCTTGTTAACAGACATCTAGCAGCGTCATGGATGGATGTTATTATCCCAGTGGAGTTATATTTCTGTCCAATACACGCGGATCCTTTAGTTTCGGTATGGTTTCCAGCTGCTCCTGATGAAAAACACTTGAGTTTTTATGATTTTATGATGATTGTTTTGGCTCATGTATTACTGATGACCCAGAACACTGTGTACATGTATATTCTTGTTCCTTTCACAGTGGGAACAATTTATTGAAACTGGCGTTTGAACAAAAATGACATGCAGAAGGTAATTGCAGAATTGGGCAGCTTTTGATTCATTTGACTGAAATATGGTGTCTGTAAGAGGAACATTTTGTGACTGTACCTCTTTTCTGCAAAAAGTAAACGCATGAGCAACGATTTGCCTGAAAAACTATGTTTTGACTCAAATAATCTGTATTACCTTTAACTTTTGAATAGAAGTGTGTGGTTGTGTTTACATCAGCAGTGAACCCGCCCTCTTTTTATTGTCATATTTTGCTTCAACCTTTCTAACATTTTAGAAAACTAGGTGCTGGATTTGCATCAAACAGAAAGCAATAACAATGACGGACACAGTGCCAATTTTTTATGCAAAATTATGCATATATAGCGAAGAGTAAATCTGGAGTTGGCTTTCCCCCGTTGGAGAGCACTTGTAACACCGTTGAGGAGGTGGGGAGGAAACTTTTTTTTTTTGTGCATGCTTCGGAAATATCTTTTTTTTTTCTCACTATCAATTGTTTTAAATCGCTATCTTTCTACTCGGTTGTGGAAAATATGCACATTCTGGATAACAGATCATCAAAAGAAAAAATGACAATTTCCTTTCCCTAAGCACTAGAATTAGTCTAAAATAGACTTCTACATTTTGCTCTTAGGTGACTGCACAACTGAACGTTTCAATAACTGAAATTTACATTCATTTTCAGACACAGTGAGTTCATGAATGAGCCGCCCTGTAAGCCACATTGTTACACGGGCCCACCTGGCTGAGACGTTGAGCGGGACAGACAACACACCAGCCTTCTAGTTAGACTGAAATCTTCAGGGGAACTCGCTCCTGGTGAGTTTTGCTCGGCTGTTTGGGGTTCTGGTAGGAGATTCTCACAAACACAACAATGAGAATAGTCCCTGGAAAAAAAGAAAAAAAAAAAGCACAACGGCTCCCATCAGATACAACTGCACACACATTTATGATATGACGTCGTGGTAATAAAACCGTCTCTGTCATTCTCTCTGCTTACCGATGACTGTGAAGGTGCCAAGAAGAATCCCCACTGCTGACTGAATAGTTGGCATACCCTCCAACTGCTTGGCAGCCATTTTGCAGTTCCCTCTAATGTTGCAGGGACACACTGTCACTAAACAGGTGAGGGACAAGGACACACAAAAAAATACTTAGCTGGGATTGGAAAAGGAAACAGGAAAAGAAGATATTTTCAGGGTTGATGTTCTGTTCTGTTCCATTGAATATTATCCCAACATTATTTATTCTCATTTTTCAAATCGAACTGGATTAATTATTAATAATACATACTCTAATAATAACTAAGCTTTCGTCTCTCTCTTTCTTCTCTCTTTTCAAGTACAATACTGGTGACATTTCCTTGTTTTACTTTTCTCTGGAGAACGCCATGGGAAATGCCTTCTCTGACTCTTCGGTCTGTCGGCTTGTCTCTCCCGTTAAGCCGCTACACTTAACGGAATAGAGGTATTTAAAAGACTGAGTGTGTGTGTGTGATTTACGACGCATTCAATGGGTTGTTGTCTTTACTGGACCGCTGAACAAGTGATGTAACGGCACGCGTTCAAGGTGGTAATAATGACGCAATGCTGAATTCGTCTAATCAAAATTGGTCTGTTTTAGGTCCGGCTTCTGATAAAACCCTTGTCATAGAACCTGTGACAATGATCTATCTTATGCACTTCTACACGGCCATCATTGAGTCCGTCCTCTGCTCATCCAATCTGCCGTCCCTCCAGGACGTGTTTGCATCCAGAACCCTGAAGCGAGCAATGAGGATTGTAGCTGACTCCTTTCAACCTGGTCAAAAACTGTATTTGTCCCTTTCGTCGGGCAGGAGGCTGAAGTCCATCAAGAACAAGACCTCAAACAGTTTCTTGGATTACACTACCCTGAAAATATTCCACCAGCCGCCACTGCTCACAGCCATTATCCTCTTATATCGGTACTATATTATTCTAACCTGTGAATAAGTTATACGTTGCTTTTTGCTCTGTGTATAATGTTTCAGGAGCTATCTTAAGAGAGCTGTGTAATCACAAGTCTGGAAAAATCATTTGTAAAGCTCCATTGCATCATTATTAAACAGGCAGGGCAAGGACAAGCTGGCACACACAGAGGTTGATTAGTATTGATTGTCCCATAACCTCACTGTATTTGCTTTAGCTTATCAGCAGGAGAGTCGACATTACCTGGCAAGTTTATGAAGGTGCTCCGGGGAGGAGAACTGCTGTCAGAGATGGTGAAGGGCACAGTGTAGACCTCAGGGGCCAAGTACGGGATGTTTAAGGAAAGGTTGGTGTGAGTATCTAAAAGACAACACACCAAAATCACACATAATAATGGGATGTCAATTGCAAATACAATCTCACACATAAAACGTTGTCTCCTTTTTTTAACGATGAGGTGAAGGTGGTCAAATATTCCCTATTATTATTTTTTCAATTACATTTACTCATCATCAAGTTTACTTATCATCTAATAATCTCTAATCATCTCAATCTAATGATAATGAAATATGGGAGAACCCTAAGCAAAGGTCCGAAGTCATAACTGCAATCTTAAGGTGTTGGTGAAATTAATAGGTGCATGCATTGGTATTTCTGTTTGGAAGATTGATAAACACATGCACTATGATAAGAATATTTTCTTAATATGAGGAGAAAATGGGTGACGGTGGCACGTGGAGTAAGGGAACCGCAAGGTTGGCGGTTCAAATCCTGGCTGCTCCATGTCCCATGTCGAAGTGTCCTTGAGCAAGACACCTAACCCCTAATTGCTCCCCGGGCAAATATAAAAACCATGGGTTAAAAAAGCAAAAATGTAAGTCGCTTTTGATTAAAGCGTCAGCTGAATGACATGTAATGTAATAAAGAAAACATCCCCTCCTATACCGCAATTCAATTTATTACCAGTCCTGCACTCTGAAAAGTAAATTCTTTTCGTTTTTATACAAGCTAAATGTTTAGTTTTGTGAGATATCTGTCTAATATTTTTAAACCAATTCTTTGAGCAAAGGTTAAAATCCAAGCTAAGAAGCATGCACACAGCTGTACAACTACACAATACACTGAATGTCTCTGAATAAGAGATACTAAAGGAACTGAGTGGTCTGGAGTGTGTGACACTTTATCTAATCTCTGTAAATCAGCCTCAAATACACCTCTGGCTGCATGACGTAAAAGCCCTGTCCCTTCAAGAGACATGTTTTTTCAAGTTGTTTGAACCTTATCTGAGGTTTAAAACCACACGTTGACACCTAACCATTGTCCCCCTTCATGTTCCATTTGTCAGTTAAGGAACATCGAGTCATGCAGGCTGTAAATTGATCCTCTACTGGGTAAAGTCTCCCCGCCTCTCCTGCTTCTCCTCTCATCTGACATTTTCACGGTTTGGATTTTTGAACTCTTTTGGGTGACAGTTTTACTTTACGGTGCTATCAAACGCAGAGAAGACCGGATCTCTCACATTTCTCTCCTCAAGACTTTACAGCTAAGAGTGGATGTAAGAGGAATAAAAGCCGGCTGCCTCATCAGCTGAATTGAAAAGAACTGCCAGTTATTAGTGAAGTAAACGACGGATGGGTGCACCTTCTGGAAAATGTTTTCATTTACATGCATAATGAAAAACCTATCCGTGCCCAAATATTTCTGAATATCTAAATACTTGTGTGTTTCTTCTGATCAGATTTGTGGGATTTTCCTTTTGGTTTGGATCCCAGCAAAGCTTTAGAAGTTTGTTTGTATTTGTACACCAAACTGAGCTGACCCTAAACAGGCAACATGCTGTGTGGCTGTGTGATAAAAACTCCCATTAAGAAGCATATTCTGGAGTACTGTCCTATCCCACCTTTGGGATGGGCCTATTTTAGAATATACATACGGAAAATGTAAATGAACCATATCACATTTATAATCCTGTCATATTTGGAATGAAAGTGTAATATTGATTTTAATGTTTGTCACCCATACAGTGCTTCACAAATCCTTTAGAGTCCTAAAGTTCTGGTTCTTCATATATAAGAAAACATTTTGTTTTATGTGTTTTTGGTTTGATGGCTGCCCTCAAAACAGACCAAAGTGCGGACTGGCAAAGTGTCTTTCCAAAATATCCTCACTCTGAAGGGCTAAAACTCAAATTGGTCCTCACAAAGAGGCACACAGGTGTACTTCTCTGCACAAGACATGTGTCAGGAAAACCGTTCAATTCAACAGCAGATTTGACTTCATGCCTGCATTAGCTGGAAGGAACCCAGCAATGATGGCAAGGAAATTACACAAAACATACGATGACAGCTGGGCTCAATCAATACCGAGAGTGAAAGAGGGAGAAAAAAGAAAAACCTGAGAGGAAAGTGGCTGAGCACTTTGAAGGATTTAATGAAAGACGTCATTGCAATAAATAGTTGGCATTAAATGAGTATAACAATAGCAGTTTACAACGGTGTAAAAAGGATGGTTACATCACGCCTTCTTTCGCAGACTGAGGAAATTATGCAGGAAGAAAATAGAACAGACCAATTTCCACATCTCGAGGGCCGGATCACTCTGTTTCTTTGACTATCCGCCATAATAGACGCTTGACTTGAAATGCTACTTTCCAGTCAAAGAAAATCAAAACATTTATCCAACATTTATCCAGGTCCAGAGGCCTTAAGGCTGGATGACGTCAATTCCAAATGTCCTTTCCAAAACAAAAAAAGACCTATTATTAGCAAACTGGTTATGGCAGTTTACTTTGACCATTCCAGAAAAAACAAGTTTAACATATACTCCTTAAAACATCTCAAACTACAGCACATTTGTCATATTGTATTTTTTATGGAATGATTTGATGTAAAATTGCTAAAGTTTAGGATCTAAGGATTGGTGCTAATACTAGCATCAATTAGCCAGTAAGCTTAAAGCTGCCTGCCAACAAGACCATGGTGGCACCCAGAGTTCTTTGGCATAACTGATACGGAACCTCCCCCCCATTGAACCACCACCATGATTGAATGGGCACACTTCAAATAATAGCTACAAATACATCTCATCTTGCATAGCCTAGCAAATCAATGTAGACATTTAGCTTAGAATTGTCTGTCTTCTCTTCTCCCAGTAAATCAAAAGACAAACGAGGCATGTTTTTGGTTTTTGGACTCACCATTAATAGGTGTGAGCTTCCAGTTACGCCGGACTGTGGCATCGCTTCGCAGGGAGAAGTTCAGGCGTCCTCCATGCTGTGGCCCATCACTGTCCCGTGAGGCTAGCACCAGAGCTTGGTCCTCCCAGCGAGGCGTACACAGGTACTTCCAGGAATAGTCTCCAACCAGCACCGGACTGTTGTCGTTGACATCCAGGATTTGGACCGTCACCAGAGTGGATGCAGATAAGGAAGAGTTTCCTAAGAGGAACACGAGAAATGTGGAAAAAACCTGAGCCCAAACACAAAAGCTGCAGCTTTCACTGAATTAAATATTATTATTAATATATGTACACCTTAAATAACGTTTAGGTGAATTTACTGGAAGTGATGGATTCATCAAATGCTTGTGTGTGTCATTTATAATGATGACAATAAACTCACGGCCATCGACTGCAATGACCTCCATGGTGTACGTGCTGTTCTCCTCTCTGTCCAAGGCCTGCACAGTCTTTAGTTCACCGGAATACTTCCCTATTGAAAAATATTTCTTGGTGTCCCCTTGAAGAGAATATCTGCAAAAAACGTGTTTAACTCTGTAAAATGAGAACTTTGAAAGTGATAATTGTTCCGAAAGCGTTCATTAGGTAGGACTCACCTGATTGGGTGAGAATCGGGGTCGTAACCTCTGATGGTGGCGATAACCCGTCCCGGTTCCTCGCCCTCTCTGACTGTCACCTCATAATGGCTTTGAGACAAGATAGGACCTTCATTCACATCGTCCACGTAGATGGAGACTGTTGCCGTGGATGCGGGTCCATATCGGCCACGGACCAGAGCCACTGGGTTCTGAGCACTGATCACGAGGATATACTCACTCTCCCGCTCAAAGTCCAACACCTGTGAAACCATGTACATGCACACACAGAATTACAAAAGCACGCACACACACACACACACAGACAGGTCAACAATTGAATATAAATTATGTATAATTTACAAAACTAATGCAGTGAATGGCAAGCTCAAACTACCAAGAAAATTAAACAAAAAATACAGGTTTCCTTATTTTACTGAAACTGGTTTCACTGTATTTTGCTGTATTTGCAATAAGGCATTAACGCATTCTAAGAAGATTTTAATGAACATTGAACATGAATGAAATTCTGATCGCACTGCATGGTATTCAATGAATAAGTAATTGATTACAAAATAGTAAAAAGCACATACAAACAAATAAATCCCTATTAAAACACCTCAACTACTCAACAATGTTGGAAAGATGAACCTCAGTAATGTTGGTGTTTACATTGCAATCCTTCCTATTCCCTTTAAATCTGTCGTATATTTAATGATTTCACTGATTTTAGAAGCAAACAAACAAAAAGAAAGGCGAGTCATTAATCTCTAATTTATCCTTAATGCAACCTTTATAGTACTGCGGCTTGTATCGGTTAAATGTATTCTGTCTCCTCAAGCAACGCTATTAAATCCAGCGCTGCCTGACATCGTGCCGATCAGGCAGGAGTGCGTCTCTGTTGCTAGGGTGTAGAAACACAGACCTTAGATGGTGCATGAGTACTGCCGTAGACTGGAAGTAATGCGTCAAACTACTCAGTGCACCAGAACATGTGCGTGGACTCACTCAAGGCCAGAGTCATCAGAGCCACTGTGTTACTCAATGTGATGCTTCTATTGATTTGTTCATATTTTAACCTGAGACACAGCAGCCTCCTATTATTAACCTTCCCTCACCTGCACAACATACTTTCAGAATTAATCCCAATTTGCAGGTATTGATCTGATTCTTATTTAGAGGATTTCTTTTTCAGGCTGCTTGTTTTGGCTGGCAGGTGGGAAACAAAACAGATTTATCATCACTTTTAAAGTTCATAACAGCAAGCAGTTCATTTACGCATCTATGTATGGGGCGTTACTGACTAACATGTCATGTTACATTACATGTCATTTAGCTGACGCTTTCATCCAAATAGGCCTTAAATTGCATTTTTAACCCATGGATTTTAGATTTTTTTCAACCCATCCCACACGGTGTGAGTAGTGTGCAGCTGTCAGTCAGGGGTCGAGTGTCCTGCTCAGACACGTTTTTTTTGTACTTTTCCTCCTTTAAACAACTACCTGCTGCTGCCGGTATTGTCACCTATTGGCCGAAACAAAACAACAGAATTATGGGTTTTACAAATCAATTCTCTAAAAGACTCTTTTTCCAGCCTTTCAACAGTTTCTTCCCGTCGGCAGTCGGGCTCATCAACAACCCGGTCCCCCACTGCCTGACTAACACTCCACCGGTCACTCCCCTTCACACTGCACATGCCACTTTAACTGCAATTCATCACTTTGTTACTTGTCACTTTGTCTCTTGTCTGTTACTTGTTCGTTAGTGCACTTTATGCTCAATATTTTTCTTTTTAACTTTTTAATATTTACATTTTTTTTACTTTATTCCCTTGTTTTATACTAACCCATAGCCTTAGCCTTATTCTACTAACCCATTGCATTAGCATTTCATTCCACTTTATTTTGTTACTTGTGCACTGTTGTCTTGTCTGTCTACTGTCGCGCACTAACCGCCAAGACAAATTCCTTGTATGTTTGACATATTTTGGCTAATAAATGTTTCCTGATTCCTGATCCTGAACAAAAAGCGCCTGAAAATCGGATGAAAAAAAAAAACATTTGGGGAATTGTTGCTTCGTGTGATCTTTCACAACATGTGCTGTGCTACTTGCTCACCCGTTATAATCGCAAATGAAGCACACAAAAAATGTCTTTGTAATGAGTTATTTCTCCCACTAACATCAATCCCACACGTTTCAGTTTTCTCATGTTAGAGTTAAAGATCTCACTTTAAACTGATGACTCGCACCTGTAGTTAGTAATGGATGAATATGTATTGGGATAACTTTGAATTGATTAATGAATGCGTAATAGAGCAGGCGTTGATCTGTTACAACAAGCTCCAATCAATTCTTATTTCATCTTTTCCTTTAAAAAATGGTCTTATATTTGACGTAAGGTCCCGTTCTCCCAATCCTTGTCCTAATTAGATTCCCTTCTCTTCCACTGGTTCATTAGCTCCCCTGGCCTATGTGATAAACAGTCATTAGTGACTGCTGATACAGTCCAATTACTTACTTGGTGTGTGAACAGTGTGTAATTTGTGATAATGAAATGCGTCTGCCTGCTGGCGCCGACTTTACGGTGTAACACGATGATTTAAGAGATTCACTCGACTTTATGTTATTCTACCGGGGATTTATTTGTAAAAGATGTACGCTTTGTTGCCTCGAAGTTAAGCAAAATAAACAACAGTATACCCTTGATACAAAGTTAGTTAGGACGGCTCACAAGGCCAATACAAGAGCTTCAAACGCGGCTGCTTAAAGAAGAAAAGTTAATCTCCCCAATATCATTTCCTAGAAATAGAAGTTCTGACGTGTTAATCTGAAAGAAAACAAGATCCATTTTTAGCTCTTAGATACGTCCCGCTTTGTGTCAGTGGAGCGTGTGAAACTCACAGTTCAATCATGTTGGTCAATTCCCACCGAGAGGTTTGAAATAATAGACTCCTGCCCGGCCTACTTACAGAAAGCAGATCATTTGTTTATACACACACACACACACACACACACACACAGTCACAACCGCTCCACTGGATTATGCGGCGCAGATGGAGGGGGATCCACCCCGAGGACATTATTTTTGGGCTAAAACCTTTGTCATCTGGACTCATTCCTATTGACTGAAGTTTAAATGCTTTATAATATTATTTCCCAACCTTATGTCGGTACTAAAATATATAAAAAATGTTTCCTGGTAGGAATAAGTGGAGTCAAACCCTGCTACTGGATGATCTTTTAGGAGTGTGTGTGTGTGTGTCTAGAGGTCGCCGTGTAGTTTATCTTGTTTACCTTTGATAGGACGAGGGAGACCTCATTGGTCTGCTTGTCCGTCACCAATGTAAAGACTTCTTCCTCGTTTCCAGACTCCAAACGGTAGTCCACCTTCCAGCTGTCTCCTCCCCGAACATCTGCATCGCCTGCCAGCACAGCTGTTACCGTGGTGCCCACCGAGGCGTCCTCTGGGATGTGAAATGGCCCATACTGATGGGAAGGAGACAGGCTACATATGCATACAGCAGAAACAGCATTCATCTGTGACCCTGTTAAAATGCACTTAAACTCAAATCAAACTGATGAATCGAACATCCCTGAATGGGAGAAAAAATGTAAACAGGACTATTTCATTATCACTCTAATGGAAAAAGAAAATCACAAACTTGCATTGTATTCACCACTCATTCTACCTCAGTATTATAACCGACAGTCTGCTTATGAAAACACAGTTGTGTCCTGAGAGCGTAGGTGACCCCCCCCCGGTGTTAGCTAACCTTTATTCACACACCTACGTGTGTTTGGACAGCCGTTTAATCTGCCACTCACGGATGTCCTCTAGTGAAGCAGCCATTCCTCTGATCTGTCTGCCCCATCCACAAGGTCGCTGAACCCGGCCCTGTCACCACTCGCCTCCCACATCCCTACAGCGCCGCCTTCACGTTGCCGTGGAAAAAGCTGCACTTCTCAGGCGTGACCTTCTCAAGAGCATTTTCCACCTCAAGTGTGTGTGTGTGTGTTTGTGTGTGTGTGGTGGCCATTATCTGACCAAGTGCACACATTTGTTTGTAACAGCTTAAAAAGAGCTTTGAGCCATGCTCGAACAATATGTAGTTAAATCCTAAAGTGTAAGTATATATATATATATATATATATATATATATATATATATATATATATATATATAAACGGTACATTCACGCTGCCCAGCCATTTTCCACTTTTAAATTTAAAGGCGCTAACTTCTTCCCCGGCTCAAAATACAATGTTCCTTTACAGTTCACAATGTCCATGCAGCCTTTCATGTCAACGTGGTCTGACAGAGAGAACAGCCGGAGACGGGTTCCCCATTAACACAGCATGACGGCTCTCCCACGTACCCTCATGACTTCTCTCTCTATTATGGGGCATATGTGGGTGAAACGTGGGGGGGGGTTCTGTAACTGCCTATCTTTAGAGCATTTCTCTTTGTTTCCAGCAGCTACGTGAAAATGAAGGAAACCACTGGGGCATTCCTTGCTGGGTTTGCAGCACAGATATTGGTGGAATTCCCCAAGTTGATATTTCATTGATTATATACAAATGAAACAGAAATACATGCAATACAAATAATTGCGGTCATCATTAATTGTGATAAATTGATCACAATAATTTGAGAGAGAGAGAGAAAGAAGAAGAAATGAATGTGTGTATTTGCACCATTAGACATCTGAGTTTAGAGAGGAATAGGAGAGGAGGGCGGAAGAGAAGGAAAGGCATGAAGTCAACGAGGTATGTTGGGCCTTTGCTTATATTTAACACCCAAAGTCAATGTAGGTGGGGGTATAGACTCAACTCATAAAAGCTTGGAGAAGTAGATTATCCTGCGAATGGTCGGAGAAATCTGCGGATGTCAATTTTAATATTTTACTTTCTTCAGCAAAAACATCCTCGCAAAAAAGCTCACGAGAAATACTGTGTCCATTCCAAGCACTGAGCAGCTGAAACAGCATCATCATTTCCATCACGTAATGGCACCATTGTATTATTTTGTTGTCATGATGTTGATTTGACTATATAATAAACAAATGAATGGAAACTACTCCCCTAAATAAAGCTTAATCAAATTAAACTAAGAACGCGGTCCACTTTGAGTACAAAGAACTGCATAAAACTCCTATAATAACACGATGGTGCTGTCTCTATAAGCCTAAGATTAGGGGCCATATCTAGTTTCCCGCCAGGAAAATTAGATCAGTGACCTGCAGAGCAGATTCACAGCCCAATAGCCACTTAACGACGGCCGGTGACGTTTCAAAAAGTATTGTTCAATCATGAGATCCTGAGCAGACCAGAATAGTTTGTGTCTGAACATGTGCTGTTGTACCTCGTGTTGGGAGAAGACCGGTGGGTTGTTGTTCTCATCCTGCACCGTGACAACCACTGTGCACGAACTGTTTAGACCTGCCAGGGACACCATCACAGCTTCTGTTAGTGACTCAGGGTCGGCAACGTCGCACAAATGAATGAAAAAAATGCTGGAGGGACAGCAAGTACCTCATCCTGCCTCCGTCACAACCTGACGCGTGAGTCATGCGGACCACATCTATCGGCCCTGAAGGCTGCAGACGTCTCTGGACGTCGGAGTTACACATAATATTTGAGCGTTGTACCGAGTACCAAGAGGGATTTAAATGAAACCTTTGGCCTTTGATTGCACAACTAAAAAAAATGGCCAAATTTGAATAAACGGCTCCACACGTAACTCCCTCAACACTACAAGTAGAAGATTGCTTGAAAAGTTAAAGTCTAATCTATGCCTTTTAGTGAGAATCACAACGTGAGGAAGGCATTTTATTTTTTGTTGCATTGATCTAAAGTCACCTTTGGCATCCTCAGCAGTGATTGTGAGGGTGTATTGAGATGCTGTTCCCTCCATGCTGTCCGCTTGCACGGAGATGACCCCTGAGTCACGGTCCACCCGGAAGAGGGCACGAGGACTCTCTGGAATTTGACCGACTAAACGGTAGAATATCCGCACATTGTCCGTTTTAGGATCGTCGTTATCTGCTGCCTGTACGGTTAGAATTTCAGTACCTGAGGAAACATACAGCAGAAGAAAACAGTCCTGAGAGACAAATATTTCCAAACATTTTACAACAAAAAAAGTTTCATGTTTACCTTATAAGGACCGAAGGATGAAACAACAGCGTTCTTATTTAATCCTCACTCAGTAATTCCATTAAGATTTAACAGATTGTTCTGACTAATTTGTTTCCCAGAATCAAGTCTTTTAAAGTATCAACAAAAAAGCTTTTATGCCTGATGTGTCACAACACACCGTGGGCCTTTTATGAGTGAGGGTGCTTTCCCTTCCGTCCGGGCAAAAATCCCAATCCGCTTTCATAAAAGGTATCTGGCACTCTCAGCTCTTTCATCACTGCAAAGTCCCTTCCAGACAGCGTTTCCTCCACATGTTGTAAAACGAGATTCCCCTCATGGAGTAAAGGTGACAAAGGATGATTCAGAGGTCTCAAGGTGTTGTTTGATGCTGATGCCTCACTTCATTTGGGCGTAAAAGAGTGTGATACTTGGTTGAGTAGTATTATATACTGAGAATGTAGAGTTGACCAACGTACGTCTACAAAGAACCATTTTAGTTTGACACAGGGTTGTTCTTTGGGCTTAAGCTCGAACCCCTCTGTTGTTCTATAAATAACCACATGTGGTCTGGAGAAATGAGACATTTAAAAAGGTGTACCAGTCTGATACCTCGAGAGGCCAGTTCCTTGACCACGGTATGGTACTGCGCTTGCGGAAAGGTGGGTCTGTTGTCATTGGCGTCGCCCACCATCACCCTCAGCTCCACAGGCTTGGCAATCTCTCTGCCGTCTGGACGCTCAACCACAATGCTGATCTGGAACTGACAAGGCAAAAAGAAACGTAATGTCTGGCTCTAGTGTGACGAAGAAACAGAGCGCCTAGACATTTCTGGTCAGCGGACGTGGCGGGTGTTAACTCCACTCCCCCACTTCATTAATGGGATAGGATCCTGCGAATGGGGAATGCCCAATGAATGAGGAATGAACAATATATATATATATATATATATAAAATATCAGTCATCTTTTGCAGTCATGATAAATTCTTCCATCCCTACGGGTAAAGAAATCGCAAAAAAATAAAAAAGCTGATGTCTTTCAAGTGATTGTTCATTCTATAAGAAATATGATGCATGTGCTTTGAGCACCAATCATGTCCGCTTATGCACCTCAGGCTCTCTTGTAATTTTCTTTGGCCACATGGGCAAGAGTGGCAAACTATACTGTACAGCAAGCCATTCAAAGCCCCCCGGGGCTCAAACTCAAGAAAAATGTAAAAAATGTGTCTTTTTTAATTTTCTATTCAACAACAAATAATTATCCTTCACTTAGCTTAACGTGAAGAATACAGTATAGAAGGATATACATATACATATCTATATATATATAGATATGTATATATATATATATATATTATACTCTTAATAATGACAATAATGATTTTTTAATGTAGAGCAAACTTTCTATGAAGATAAAACATACATGTATTTTCACAGTCCAGACATTGAATTAAACCTGCTTCTGTCTCTCTTACGCAACAGTGTAGCCCAAGCAGCCCTAATGTTTTGACACTTTAACCAGTAATCACAAAATGAAATGTATTATTGTGCTGGATATGTTTAGCTTGCAGTGATGCAGACCTGATCCTGTGTCTCTCTGTCCAGAGGGGCGTTGAGATAAATGACTCCTTCTCTGCTGATGGTGAAGAGCATTTCTGGGAACTCCCCCTCCAGACTGTACTCCGCCTGGCTTCCACTCCATTTGACCTACATAAACACACAATCCAAAACAAAATCCTCAGCACAATATTTTACCAATTGGTCGGGCACATTTTGAGTCATTACATATAAATCTGAAAAATGTATCGACCGTAACTTAACCTTAAGCCATCTGTGTAACTTTTAATTAGTTGTTGTAAAAAAGACGAGGTTAGAATGTCATTGCAAGTAAAAATGCAAAGAAATAATTTCTTTTTCTTAGAGAGGACACACTGTTTCTGGCTCGTATTAATACATATATTTATGTATTACGTAATACATTCCGTGACGTATTATTCATGTCCGTACATTCCATTCTCAAAAACGTCTTTTTCAGAAACATCCACTTGCACTCAAGGATGATAAAGTTTTGGCATTTTGGGCCGACGAGGCTGTAAACTGCATCTTGTTTGTTGGAGACACACAAACGTAAGAGAGCGATTTTACAATAACGACTAATAAAATGTATCATGCCGTATAAACCTACATGTGCAGAGCTGAGCTGCCTTTGTTTACGTGATAAGGAGCCAACCGAATGCACTGACAATGATGTGGAACAGAGAGCACAGCCAAAACTAACTATGCGGGCTGAAGGGGATTTTCCACTGTGCTTTACGGCCCTTGACAGAGTGCTGTGCAGTGGGGCAGAAAGGGCCCAAGTAGCCATCAAACAGCACCCAAGAAGGAGAGGAGCCCGTTCGCAGCACAGTTGACTGACACCCAGGGAACGTGTATCACACTCTCCTCCCTTGTTTTGGAGATGGTTTCCCAAACACTGCTTTTGTATACACCAAGCGGTTCTCACACAGCTGGCCGCTTCTCAGCGTCGCGGCGGGTTTCTGGGCCTCAGAACTCTAAAGAGATGTTTTTAAAGAGCTGATTGATGATCACCAACAGCTCGATATGAAGTTCTACGCAAAACATCTGTGATGTCATCTGTTTTTCCCCCCGTCAGTGCTCGAGTTTGCAGAGCACGCTCTGTCCTGTTAGCTTGTGTTTGAGCTGCGTCAAGAGCGCCTGTAGCCTGCGAGCGCTTCCACCCGAGACACTGTGGACAGGAGAGTGATCAGCTGCTGAAATACTGAAACTAACCACAAGGCAAGAAATATCAAAATATCCCAGCCGATATGATTTGTCATTAGTTTGTTAATCTACACCACAGAAAAATACTATGCTATAACTATTTTGATCATGGTTTCAATCCATTTTCAAGTAGAAATGCTTGTCAAATAGTGAGGATTTGCTGCTATCCTTTAACATTATTCACAGTTCACTAAACAGACCGACAATTCAAATAATTCACCTTGTTTCCTGGGAAACTATGATGGAAATCAAAAAAAGTGTTGGTTGGATAAAATATTGATATGATATCTGCCCCCTCCATGATAAATAGTGTATTTCTTTGAAGGGGCAGAGAAGCTTTTATTGCCAGTGAGATCACCAAATCTAGAATAGCTGATGTTGACTTTAGCTGGTGACAGATACAGAACTTCATTTTGAGTGTTAAGGCACAACAGAAATAAGAGGTAGAGTTGTCTTGTTTTGGGGGTTTGAAACATTAACACGTTATTAACAAAATTGTCTTTTTCCAGCAGCATGAAACAAGTTGTACGCAGAACACTGACATATTTTGACCTCATTTAGTTGAGACACGGGCAAACAGTTTCTAAGTTACAGCAGATACATTGATATTTCAATCAATCAATAATTATATTTTGCACAGCTTTGCTGTTATTCAAACCGACATGAGATTGTTTTTAATGACTAACTTTCACCTTCATACCACTATCGCTTGTAAGAGTGATTCAGGGGCCACGACAAAGGTCTAGTGTGGCTCCCACTATTTCTGCAAAAAAAACATCAGATTTCATTTGAGTGTGAAAACTGACAAGAGCCTTGACTCATTCATGCAGAGGCTCCGAGGCCCGTCGTCCACTCAGAAGTCTCAACAGATTGCATTACAAATCAAGTAGTTCCACACTGATTGCATTGTGTAATCAAAGTTTTAGGCAAGCAATCAGGAACATGGAGTGTGCACCAGATTGAAATGAACCTCCCTCTTTTGAAGCAAGAGTACCGATTACAAATGGCTGGATTTCATATTTAAAATTCAGTGCAGAGTCAGTCACACGGCTCCAGGCTTGGTCTCATAACGCCGTTTTAGACAGAGAAATATGAAGGCAGAAATGCATAAAGTAGCACAGTAGACAAACATTTGTTACAGATGAGTGGCTGCGAATATCAGTGCTCCATTTATCTGAGACTGTAGGAGGTGAGATTCATGTGTATGTGTCATAACAGCGGTTAGTCCCAACACCTACTGAGCACAGCAGCACGATCACTCAGCGTGGGCACAATGAGGCTTCCCCCAAGTAAGCGTCCATGTCGAGCTAATACGGTTTTAGTGCTTTCGATTCTGGGTGTAATTGAAGAGTTTTCAAGCAGACGGCGATTCAGTGACATGGTTTTTTATTTCAAATTAAAGCAGATACAGCGAGGGAATCTGCCCAGAGAAACATTTTCACATAGTCTAAGAGGCACGGGTGCCATTTGTGGAAATGGATTGTTTTAATAAATTAGCATTTAAAATTTACCAAGCTGTCTGTAACAGCATTGACAATTATGCATTTTACACATTAGAAACAAAAAGATTATTAAAGTAGATTTGAAGTGGCATTTTGAAAGAATAAAACAAATCAAATGTGCCTACGCTTGTGAATCCACACGTTTTCTGTGGGTGGAAGGGCCTGTTCCAACAGGAGAGATGAGAGGCTGAGGGCGAGTGTGGGGGAGGTGGGAGAAACAGGAGGAGGGGGAGGTACTGTGATGTACCTACTGGCCACGGCTACTCTCACAACCTGCACATTGCATCTGATTCAGCACCAGAATCCGCTCTAAGAGCCTCTGTTGTCTCAGTTGTCCGTGGTGAGTAAAAAGAGGGTTTCTTTTACAGTGCAAGCGAACATTTGTAAAATTTCCTTAGCGACACTTCTGGCTGTTTTTGTTTCCATGTATTTGAAAACCTCTTAGGGCTCTTGAGTTATTTATCGACAAATGACAAATATTGTAAAAACCAAGGGGACAGATAAGACACAGCTATGGAGAACCTGAGAAAACTTCTAAATAAAAAATGACATTTCAGCACCGCATTGATGTGGAGCAGTGCTTTAAACTAGAACAGTCACTATTAACCGGAACCCATTCTTTATACATTTATACATCTTATTTCATATTTTATTCATATATCTTATTTCATCCAACAAACTGCCCCAAACTCAGGAAGCCAGAGAATATTTGAAAAATGATTTAATTTAATATATGCTGGTCAAAATCGTTGATGACTTTGCCGGATTCTGAGGTTACATAAACATAGTTCAGATATGTAGATATGTATGCCAACAATATATATATATATATATATATATGTAGTTGGTCTTGTTTTTTCCTATATTTCATGAAATAGTCAAATATGAGTACTGGTCTTAGTGTGGATTCTGCCTTTATTCGGTCACGTTTGTATAATACCTCTCAGCGTTTAGTGGGTGGAAGAGTGAGTGATTATGAGAGTTAAAGTGACTCAGTCAGGAGGTAGCTTGAAAGGATTCATGGCATTTGAACGGCATCAATAATTCAGCATTTGGTCACTTAGGAGCACACAAGAGCCAGTAAAACCAGCAGCTGGTTATATGATGCCACTATAACTGGCCCAGGCCCTTTGGCAGAGTTTGTTTTGTCGTAACAAACTGTTGGTCTGCTGTCTCACCTGTGAGATGGGGATGGGATAAGGGCCCGGGAGGTTCTCCTGGAGTCGTACGGGGTCGGGCGACGCCCACGTGTTTCCCGTCACCTCGACGGTGACGATGCCGCTGGAGAAGAAAGCGTTTGACTTCCCCGCCATGTCATTGACCATCACCGAGAGCTTGTAACGGCCGCACATCTCCGGGTCAAGAGTAGAGGCCCCTGGGGGTCACAGCGGGAACGATGACATTAGGCCGTACTTTTTTTCTCCTACAGAATACAACGTGCATTGATGCTGCGATGTGTGCAAAGTGTACAAGGAACCAACGGACAATAACATTTTTTAAAGAGACACAAAAAAGTAAAAAATAAAAAAATGGGGCAATCATTTGATAATAATAATAACAACCCGCAGCGAAGGCAATCATAGCCATCAGTTACAGCTAACCCGAAATTGAAGAATGTGATTTTCACTGGTGAAGCTCTGTGGAAACCAGCCGCCCAGTGTGGGCCGGAAAGGACCAGCAGGCCTTAAAAATCATCCATATGTGTAATTACAACATGTACAGCCAACATAAGTGCGTCCTGGTTTTGTGTGATTTTTGCTTAAATATCTCTGTTTGGCTTTTAAAGGATGTATATATGAACCCAGTTATATTTTTCATTCATTCGAGCATTTTCTCTCATATTGGTCATATTTCATCAACTGTAGTAAGTATAACTAACACAAATAGCTCTTGTTGGCCCCGGGTCAATACTGTGTTTTTGAGGCTGACGACACGTGACCACCATTGGTATTTTAAACTTAAAAACTAGTACTGACTGTTACTAAACATGCACACACATTTTGTGAACAATTACCTGCAGCTCTTTCTTGGTATTGTCTGCAAAATGTTAATGTTCCGTGTTCATTACTGCTGTAAATGTTGTTTAAAACCAATAACAAAACAAGACTAATGTTCCCATTAGCAACAGCCTGGTTCAAATTGCAATAAAAAGTATTCTTGCGTATGAAGAAAAGAGGCCTCTGAAGTTGCATGAAGTTAACTGTAAACTGGAGCACACGGTGAGCTCAATGAACATGTATAAATCTTATCTTTCGGAACAAACAAAGTGTCACTGGAGACTTTTCCTACAAGCCCTAGTTTGACTGACCTTCCTCTGTGAGGGAAACTTCTCCGGTGACGGAGTTGATGGAGAACATTTGGCTGGAGGGAATCCTGGGGGTCTGTTCCATGAGGCGGAACCGCAGCTCTGCGTGGGCGGTGTTGCGATCATCACGATCCACTGCATCCACCTGCATGAATGGGATTCCTGAGGGACAGGTGGTGCCCGGTCAACAATATGACCGTACACGTCCCTCTGCACAACAGATCCAAAGCACATTCGCTCTCTCAGGATAGAGCCAAGGTGGTTCCCAATCTGCAGTCATTGTTTTGTTTTTTTAATACGCAAAAGTATCTTGGTACCCAAATGAGATTTCATGTGTGGGTTTTTTGTAGGTGCATGAGCCCTCTTTTACCATATGTCCAAAGTGATAAGTTGCACATAAGAAGAAGAACAATGGTTAGCTGCAAATAAGATGAATAAGATCATTTTTGGCGTGTTTATTCTCCATTTTTTAAAAGGCACAGATTAGGAGATTTTTAAGTGATTGAGATAAAATACATCTGCGGTGTTGTATTTGAGCGTATATCATTGTGAGTCATGTGACAGTTCTTTTTTTAGGGTTGTCCAGCGTGCAACGTCACTGATTCTATTAATAGAGACGGTTGAGGAGTAAATTGTATTTCTCAGGGACACATTCAACACAATACCCATTGTCGGGAGGGAATGAGTTATGGTGTTCCGTGTAGCCGGACTGACCAATGGGAGCCCGATTGGAAAAAGGTGGAGCAACGCGGTGACCTTGGAGCTCAAGGTGCTCGTACCTTTGAGCAGCCCGAGCTGCACGCTGCCCCTCATGCTCTCCTCTATGAAAGACGGTACGTTGTCGTTCTTGTCGATGACGCACACTTCGACAGTGAAGCTCTGGCGGTGCGCTGACGTTCTGAAGGAGACCTGCAACAATCACACACGCGGACAGTCTGTAGATATTTTGGAACAACGCACTCTGGTGAGAGTATATTGACCTCGGAGTTGCTCATTCTTCATTATTGAACACGAGTCACATGATGAACAAGGTTATGAAGAAACCTAATTCTATTTGAGAGGCGAATTTGACACATCCTGAGTTTTTTGTAACAGCTGTTTAACATCCATGTATAGAACATTTCCGTAACGGGCCATATGAGCATGAAACAATCGTGCTACCTGCAGGGAGTAAGACGGCTGCTTCTCTCTGTCCAGTGGTTTTAGAGCGTAGAGAAACTGAGCGTCAACTCCAAATATCCCCTCATCGTCCCCGGTTACCACCAGGTCGCTGTAATTACCTGGAAGGCTATGGAGCTTTTTACCACAGAACAAATTGAGGAGGGAAAGAAAAAAAGAAGAAAAAAACATTAGTTAGTGCTTATTTAAAAGCAAGCCATATGCACGGCTAATGAAGTGGAAGAGCAGCAAGGGAGTAACTGCAGCTCATAAAACGAGGAGCTTTACATTGCGCTTTACCCAGAAAAAGCATTAAGAGACACAATAACACAGCTTCCATTCAGATGATCTCAGGGGATCATTTCTATATTTCTTACCGCCAATACATCCGTTAAAAGACCAAAATCAAACTGAAAATAATTCACAAAAAATGCTGCTGTTTGAATAATGTTTGTCCAGATGTTATCGACAGAATTGTTGAGCTCTTTGAGAATTAAACCGTATGGTTTAAACAGTTATCAAAGCTAAATGGGCTCGGTAATGACAGTCATTGTGTTTAGAGATGGACGAACACATCTTTTTTCATCTTTTTATGGGATTTGTTGACCATACTACAAACATCAAATCATGCCCACTTTATCCTTCACATTATATTTTCTGCCAGCATCCTGCCATTAATCCAATATAATGACCAAAATATTGTTATACGCAAAGACAAGATGATGTTATATGAGGCGGCGTTACAACACAACCAATCAAAAAGCATCAGATGCTCGTGTGGCTGCACAATTGTAAAGGACATGTATGAAGTCGCGCAGCTGGACTGAATGCAGATGCTGGTGCTTAAACACAACTGTGAACACTCTAATTGTAGTCTGGTCATGCCACCCTCTTCATCTTCATCAAGTGAAGTGAAATGCCTTACCTTGGACAGATACCATGGGAAAATACCGTTGTAGTTCTCAGGGACACCAATTTTAACATTTGCCCCAGAGCATAGTGCGAATGTGTAAAGTACCACCAACTGCAAAAACAAGATAACAGGTGAAGCAATAGCAAGTGACATATTTCATGCAGTAATTTAGGCGTGGAAATGTACAAAGTATTCACGTTAAGAGCATTTAAAATAAAACAAGATCTTACCAGGATGAGCATTGTCGTAGCTCCTGCGTCAGCCATGGGTCCCTGTAAATGAGGACATCCACAGCCTTTCTAACCACATGGCCCCGGCCCAACAATCAATACAATTTACATGTTGTTACTGATTCACCACCTTGGTTCACTCTCATACACACCGATTTAACTGTTTTTTTAAGACAGAAGACCTGCATTTAAGAGTATAACAAGCTAAAAAGCCAATAACAGCCGCCGCTATTACATGGCACAGAAGACCATTCGGTTTGGATGTAAATGAATTGTCTGTAAGAAAACTGTAGTTGGTTGTATGTATTTTTTTTCTAACTTTAATGTTTGACAAATATATATTTTTTAGCCAATAATAATTATGCCACAGGTTGCAGGTGACAGCAAAGCCCGATCCTCTCCATTATCTTAAAGTAAGACTCTAAAGTACAACAACAGACTTTGGAAATGATGACGCTCCACAACCAAAGCTAATGAAAAATGATCAAGGCTGAAACAGTAAGAAGCTGAAAGTATTAAATTCTCTTCCGACTTCAAACAAAACGTACTGAATCTTACCTTGTCCAATTGATATGTGTGTTCCCACTGAGAGGTGTGAGAGGAGTTTAAATTGAGTGGAAAATCGTGGCTTGTGTTCCTTTGGTGGATTAATGGTTAACACCTTCAGAAGGATACTTAACTACCTTTTTGTTTTTCCTTCCTGTAAAACCAATGGCCAGTGAGCTTCCATTCCACCGATACGATCAAATTAATATTCATGAGGATGTAAATCACCTGAACAAACATCTACCTCTTTTCTCTCTGATTCTGCAGAACATTTGAATTAAGAAATAACAAGACAGAAGAATTTTTAGGATTTGTTTTTATTTCATTGAAAAAGGAAATCAACGTAAACAAAGAATTTCTAAACAATGTTGAGGTTCACAAGACTTATATAACTTATTGCTTTACTCATACATTCACATTCTGAATTCAATGTTATAGAACAACATAGAAAAACAGTTCTCTCGCGTCTTTAGTCCGCAATAACTTGGCCGGGGCACGAACCTGCGTACCGCGTTTCAAGTAAATATGACTCCAGATGACCAAGTATTGGGATTCTTTTTAACACGTCTTAATAGGATAATGAGATGTATTCGCAGGTTGCATTGCACGTTATTTATGTTCTAGTATTTACATCACTCTCCTCCAATAAAGGAGTACAACAATAACCCAACAGCAAGGCAATCTGTGCAACTCTTTACAAATAACAAGCCTTTGTGGATTATTCATACATACGCCATATTATGACAGCAACATGTTTAATGCAAACAGAAATTATAAAAAAAATGAAAATAACCGTTTATAAAGCTTCATGCAGGTTATCACCATTGTCATGATATGACTTGAATAGTGTCATTGTTAATAACTCTGTCTGCTCTTTGCATTTGGTTGGTGCCTAGAAAATAAAAATATATTCCTGTACAGCTCTTTTTTGTCCTTTTAGGGGTTAGTGTTAAAACACACACAGCAGCCGGTCTTCAAAGGTTAAAGAAAAAATGTCCGTTTGTCCCGTCTGCTCCTCAGAGAACTGTTAGGTCATGGCAGGACTTTGACTTCTGCCTAAAAGCCATCTTCTTGTTCTTGCGTGCAACCATGCGGCCCAGAAAGCGCTTGGCCTTCTTGCCGATGCTCTCTCTGCGCCTGCAGTTGGCCATGCGTCGGGCGTTCTCCTCCTTGCTGTCTTTCCTCAAGCGGATCTGCCTGACGATGCCCTCGAACAGTTCATGGACATTGTGGTGAAGGGACGCAGACGTCTCGATGAACTTGCAGTCGAATACCACCGCGCAGGCGCTTCCCTCTGCGATAAAGCACATATGGAGAAACAACTTTGAGTGGCGGCACATTAGGGTGGGAGCTGAAGTAGATCACCGTTTAAAGAGGGAACGAGTAACCCTATGTAGGGATAACAGTTTTCCAAAATTGTGCTTTTATAGGTACTTGAAAGTAGGTGTAGGCCTGTAAGTGAAACATGGCCGGCTGTACCGAAGCTATAAAGCCTGACCAGTAGGCTTACTGTAAGATTTGATAACAAAAAGCCTCAAAAACAGCATTTTAGCTTCAAATGATACATTTTAAATCTGAATTCAAGCAACCAAACGTCCTAAACCCCGTCCCCTGAGCTTAAAGGTTATATCATCTCAACACATCATCTGTGGTACGTTTTGGGTTCAAAATGACTGAATCATTGTGACCTACCATCTGCAGACACCTCTCTGGACCGCACCAGGTCACTCTTGTTGCCCACGAGGATTATGGGAATGTTCTCGGACTGCCTGGCCCGGCGCAGCTGAATACGCAGTTCTGAGGCCTTCTCAAAGCTTGATTTGTCTGTCACTGAATACACGATGATGTAGGCGTCACCCATCCTCATGCACTGGTCCTGCAGCCACTGGCTGTTGTCCTTCAAGAGAGAAACGAAAACCAGGTTCAGCATCAAATGTGGCTGATGCATCTTTCCATAATGTGATATTGATGAAATAACGTAAATGGAGCAAACGTTTGATGAATAATGTATAACTCACCTGTTCCCAGATGTCATACAACACAATGGATGACTCTTCTTCATCCACCACAATAGATCTGTCATAAGTGTTACCTGAAGAACGAAACAAGGTAATATTACACACACTGACAGAGAGGAGGAGCATCTTTTTATGTAAACGGATAAGTCTTTTGCTACATCTCACTGAAGCGAGTTTGCTTACAGCCTGTGACCAAGCCATCGTTAGTCTTTGATCATTTCCCTTCACATTATGCTATTGGGTGAGATTCTGACAGCTGCTGCCTCGCTGTAGATGGAAATAGCAATAATCCATATTTGTGCACTCAAGCTAAAACTTGCAATGTTTCCCTAATCCATCATGTAAACCGTTTTCATAGATCATTCTGAAATAGTTTATAATCAAACAAACCCACGTCTTCATTGATGAGTGTTTTTTTTTGGTTAGAATACTAAATAAGTGGCCTCCAAAGCTTTTGTGCTTTGTGTCTCATTCTTTAAACATTGTATCCCAAAAGCAGTAAGTAATGGCATCTCGAGCCATTCAGTATTCTGTTGACTACATGAAACGTTGACAGTCCTGATCGTCACACTGTATCTCCACAGACAACAGGCGGTGTGGATCGCTGTGAGCCGTCATCACCATTTACCTGCTTCGTCCCAGTCGTGACAGGCGTCCTCCGCCCCTCCGAAGACGCGCGCCAGGCTGGACTTGCCGACGCCGTGCTCCCCGAGGAGAACCACCTTGTGCACCGGGGGCTCCGGCTCGCTGCTGGTGGAGATGACGGAGTCGGAGGAGTCCGACGCGTAGCTGCCTCGGTGCTGCTCGTTCGGGGAGTAGGACGTGCAGCGCAGGAGGTTGGACAGGTCTTCGGTCTGCCCGGTCTCTGGCGTCGTGGCGCGCAGGTCCCGGTCGTCCACAGGCATGCTTCTCCGGTGCAGGTTGGGCAGAGTCATGGGGAACGGCATGCTTCCTCTTCTCCGGTCCATGATCCGCAGTTTGTCGCCCTTGTTCAAAGTCATTGACGGAGGATCTGTGGATACGTGGGACGTGCGTTAAGTCGGTGCTCTTATGTTCACTCACATGCAGATCTAATGGTGGGATTAGTCAAAATATAGTCAAAGATGATACCACACGTTTAAGTCATGTTGTATGATTAAAACATATATTTCGCTAAGTAGCCTATAATAAGGAAAATACAGTATTGTGTTTCTGAAATATCGATTTGACCACGTTAATCAATTTATCTCAAAATAAAACGCCTCAAACTATTAGGTAATAAAAGATACTTACTGCAAATTCGAGCCAAACAAGGGAATCCAATAATCCTTGGGTTTGAGGAGTTGTAGTTCGAAAAAGCGGTTTCGTTTGATCAGATCAGAGGCGCTGCTGGGGATATTTATATGGGTCTGGGAGTGACGTCAGCAGGGATTCGCCCCAGAAAGTCACGTCTCCGTTTATTATAGTAGTGCGTAACGGCACCATCATACTGAGGAGGGGGTGTATGATTGGTACAGCAGAGGAATCTCCCTTCCGCTTCACCAAATGGAGAGTCTACCTCTGTGTGGGCGACAGGGATGAATCCTCGAAGAGGAAAAGCCCACTTAAAGCCAAAGTGAAATGAATGATTAATGCGAGTTTGGGAGATCAATTTAGAGATGCGAGATGATAATGTTTAGAGCGTATTTAGGCTGTTATGGCCGTATTAAAATAATATATATTTGCATATACTCTCCATCTGTTTCGAAGCATCGTGGTCGCTGCAAGGAGGAGATCAATGCTACAATTATAAAAAAAGCATGCAATTTCATTTAAATGTGGGGTAGTTGCACATGTAATATGTGCAATGTTCCCTTAGTCTGTGGGAGCTCGGTGCTGACATCACACATTAATTCATTATTATTATTTTGTTATTATACAGTTTGGTATCCAAATGCAATGAGCACATACGAATTCTACACACGGCACGTATGTATTATTCATGCTTATGTTTCCAACTGTAATGTCTGAAATCAAGTCCGCTTATATTTCCTTGCAAAAAGAAATGAGCGTGTTTTCTCCAGGTATCAGACTCCTCGTGGTGTATTGCTGCCATCTTGTGGCCTTAGTTGTTAGACTAGAGTTTGGATATCTGAAACGGTATTTTCTGCTTCGTCCCTTTGTGAAACATAAATCGACAAGTCCTTGTTTACTTCATTGAAAAGCCATTTACACATCATAATGTGTAAACGTGTACTATCACAACGATCCACCTCACTTACGCGTCCAATGGTATAAGATCGGGAAACCGGAAGTCTACCCTATAAAATGACACCGCGCATGCGCAGTCATCTCGTGTCTTCGACCTCTACAAACCGGTGAGAGCTAGCCGCCTGTCACGACCCGTGCGTGAGCTACACATTTAACGCTAAACGTGACGCTTGTGTTTGACTCGGTGCCTTTTTTGTTTAGCTCTTCCAACCAAAGCAGCACTCTGCTCCTCAGATTTCGAAACCAATCTAGCTTTTGGCGACATTGTTCGGTTTGCAGCTAATCTTGACCTTACGTGTGTCCGTCCGTGTGTGTGTGCGCGCGTAACGTGTCACATTTTTCCCGTTTAACGTCCGCACACCGTCCACAGGTGCGTCCCGCTGCGTCATTTGTAACGCGTGTCTTTCTCTCGCCTGCAGACTGAATCGTCGCCGGCTCCTTAGGTTGACCTGACCACCTCGTCCCGTCGTCATGTACGCCTGTGCTAAGTTCGTCTCCACGCCCTCTCTGGTGAGTAAAGCTGCGCGGATGAACGGAGGGCAAACCGCTTCATTTACTGCGGAGTCGTGACAGCGTGCAGCACGACGGCCGAGCTCCCGGCGGCGTCGTTTGGGCTAGCTAACGCTAGCATCAAGCTACGTAGCTCGCACGCTAACGTTAGCGTTAAGCTAGCCGTCTTTGACCTGCTAAAGTCCGCTAGCGTTAGCAGTCCGCCTGCAAGGACGTCCTTGTTGTGAGCACCGCCCGGGAGCTCAGCCCCACGGAGCCCCCCGTGGCCCCCTTCTGAAGCCAACATCATTCAGTACAAAAGAGATTTGTCTCGTTCATTGAGAAGCTCCCTCAGATGGTCGAAACCTGACCCCGATCAGAGGTGTTAATAATATATATATATATATATATATATATATATATATCATTATTTAATGCATGCAAGTGCACACTGCGCGCCCCCCCTACCATTATAACAGGGGGCGTGCGCCCCCCCAACCCCACCCCCATATGAAAGAGTGCACAAAAAAGTTTATATTTTTATAATTTCTTTGTTATATTTCCACACACGGCTGTTCCAAAGTGACATCAACATGTTTCAAATGTCTCTATCGGGGATTAAACACTTCTAGTATTGCACTTGTCTAGTTTCACAAGAGGGAAACTGCAGGCTGCTCGTCTACGTTAACCTCAGAACTTATTCACCTGCTGTAACACAAATATTATGTCTCTTTATCGGGGAGCGACTGTCAACTAAATTTGTTCTTAATCTTCTTCATGCAGGTCCGTGCTGGATCCCGGGCACTGTACAGACCACTGGCAGCAGCGGTAGGCTCTGATGCTAGGAAAGCTGAGGTAGGGAGCGATTTGCGCTTTGACTTAGAACAGATTTATTGCCTTACAGTGTTCACAGAGGAAGGGCACCCTATAGCAATCGCAGCTCCATCTGTCTCCTTTGCTAATCCCATTTCTTTGTTTCTCGCACACATGGAAACAAAAGAGGAATCGTGCAGGTGTGTGTTTGACAAGCTCCGTTACATATCGTATGAATTTGAAAATTGGTATGACTCAATGACAGATGGAGCTGTGATTGCTTTAGATTTTGTGTTGTCAGCAAAAGCAGAACTTGTGTCCATCTGAATTTTTTGAGGAATTTAAATAAAGTATAATAGTGACAGATTGGCTGAGAATGTTTGGTATTCCAGATAAATGAAGCAGCTCCGACCTGCAATTTTCAGATCTGAGGTAACAAAAGCAAAGGACATTGAGCGGCAACACTTGCAAGCCCTTGGTGACATTTTGGTTATATATTCATCAATGGGCTTTCACATGTTTCAGAAAGTTGTTTAATACTGCTCTGACCCTGTACTGTTTTGTAACTTTATTTTTGTCCATTTTTCAGTGTGCTTCGCTTCTGGAACCACAGGGCGTTTTAGCCTCCCAGCAGCAGTTGGCAGTGCGGGGCTTCCAGACTAGTGCTGTGAGCCGCGACATCGACACTGCCGCAAAGTTCATTGGAGCAGGAGCTGCCACAGTGGGAGTGGCTGGATCTGGAGCTGGCATTGGAACAGTGTTCGGTAGCCTTATTATCGGATATGCCAGGTAAATTAATGTTATCTTAGGACATTGGCACTGACTTGCAGTAGGTTTTGTTCGTATAAATATTTATGGGATTTTCAGAGGTATACCTAATTGCACATGTTTGTCATAGAAGAATGTAATTCCAATGTTGAGTGTAAAGAAATGCATTCAATATAGTCATTGATAGACTCACGTATAGGGTCTCCATGGACAACCTTGGAAGACCCTGGGATTGTCTGCACACTCAATATTTTGTTGCAGATGTATTTTTAACAATTGTGTACCTCCAATGTGTCTCAGCTGCTTCTCTCTCTCTCTCTCAACAGGAACCCCTCTCTGAAGCAGCAGCTGTTCTCTTACGCCATCTTGGGCTTTGCTCTCTCTGAAGCTATGGGTCTTTTCTGTCTGATGGTTGCATTCCTTATTCTGTTTGCCATGTAAACCAGTTTGGCATTTGCCGCAAAGGAATACATCACAATGTTAATAAGAATTAGTTGTTTGAGATGCCCTTGAAAGGCACGATAATGTCAGCTTATCATGTTGCCCATGCTTGTTCATTGGTGTTTCTTAAAGCTAAAGATTGTGGACCCACTGATGTAAGAAACTCTGGCAGACCCGAATCATTTCAAATGATAGTTTTGCCATTATATTGTATATTCAATCCACTGTTTGTGTTAAACAGGCAACCACTAACGGAAGTAAAATGTTTGACTTATCATGTTTGTTTTTGTGGTGGGATTCTTTGTATTTTCTAGCTTCATTTATGGCCATGGTGCCGCTCATCTCACAACATTGCGTTTAACAGCAAACTCTGGCGCTGACTGGAGGTCTCTCTCACGAAGGGGAAAGCCTTCCAAATCTCTCCTGCAGTTTTCCTTCCTCTCAGCTAATGCTGAGACTGTCTTGTCCTGTTACATTATGAACCCCTGTGGATCTGAAGCTGGTGCTTATTCCAGTAATTGCATTGTGTGACAACTTTTTGCAAGAGCATTTGACATGACGCCAAATGTAACAAAGTACAAACAAACCTGTATGCAAATGTTTTTTCAAAGAAAAATGTAATTTTGCGTTTGTTAAAAGGAAGTGGCTCATAATTGCATACAAATTTCACCAGTTTAATAGCCGTAATAACCTTGGTGTCAGAATTGGATATCAAACATTTTAAACATTTTTTAGTTTATAGCAGAACATCTCAAAGGTGCCTTTAAGGCCTAATTACAGGGGGGGGGGGGCTAGAGTCCAGGCTTGCTTAACCACAGTAAATGAAAGCACTTATTTTTCAAATGAGGTGCAAGAAATGACAGTCATGTCTAATGTACTGCAGAAGTTAACTGGTTTTCTGTCTTTATGCATTTACATTTAGTCACTCAAGCCTTTCTGTGTCGAGGCTGCATGGGTTCTCTCCGGGTTCTCCGGCTTCCTCCCACAGTCAAAAGACATGCTCTGGGGATCAGGTTAATTGGACTTTTAAATTGCCCGTAGATGTGTGAATGGTTGTGTAGCCCTGCGATTGGCTGTACCCTGTCTGACGCTCGAAGATGACTGGGATGGACTCCAGCCCCCCCGCGCCCCTGTGTGCAGGATAAGCGGTTTGACGATGGATGGATGGATGGAAGCCTACCCGACCAGGCAGAATTTTGGTGGCAGCTGGCAGAGGAATGTCATATTTATTTGTGCAACAATGCAGTTCAGGAAGCTAAACATATAAATAGTGACTGAAATAAAAGCTCCCCTTTGGTCAGATGAAGTTCACACCTATTTTCATAATCAATGGGATTATAACCTGACCTCTGTAGTCATGAAGTCCTTTGAACGGCTACAAGTCCCTCCTGGACCCCCTGCAGTTCGCCTACAGAGCCAACAGGTCTGTGGACGATGCTGTCAACATGGCCCTCCACTACATCCTCCAGCATCTGGACTCCCCAGGAACCTACGCCAGGATCCTATTTGTGGACTTCAGCTCTGCCTTCAACACCATCATCCGGTCTCTGCTGCAGGACAAACTCTCTCGGCTGCACATGCCCGACTCCACCTGCAAGTGGATCACAGACTTCCTGTCTGACAGGAAGCAGCACGTGAAGCTGGGGAAACATGTCTCAGCAACTCGGACCATCAGCACCGGTTCCCCCCAAGGCTGCGTTCTCTCTCCATCTGCTCTTCTCCCTGTACACCAACAGCTGCACCTCCAGCCACCAGTCCGTCAAGCTCCTGAAGTTTGCGGATGACACCACCCTCATTGGACTAATCTCTGGTGGGGACGAGTCCGCCTACAGGTGGGAGTCTGACCATCTGGTGTCGTGGTGCAGTCAGAACAACCTGGAGCTCAGCGCTCTAAAGACAGTGGAGATGGTTGTGGATTTCCGGAGGAACAGAGCCCCACCCTCTCCCATCACCCTGTGTGACTCCCCCGTCACCACTGTAGATTCCTTCTGTTTCCTGGGCTCCATCATCACCCAGGACCTCAAGTGGGAGCTGAACATCAGGCTGCAGCGTGTCATCCGCTCTGCAGAGAAGGTGATCGGCTGCAATCTGCCGTCCCTGCAGGACTTGTTCGCTTCCAGGTCTCTGAAGCAAGCTAAAAAGATGGTAGTCGACCCCTCTCACCCCGGACAAAACCTGTTTGTGCCGCTTCCATCTGGCAGGAGGCTGAGGTCCATCAGGACTAAGACCTCCCGCCACACGAACAGTTTCTTCCCATTGGCAGTCGGGCTCATCAACAGAGCCCGGTCCCCCACTGACTGACTATAACATTCCACCGGTCACTGCCCTTCATACTGCACATGACACTTTAACTGTGATTTTTCACTCGTTACTTTGTTGTCACTCGTCACTTTGTCTCTTGTTCGATAGTGCACTTTATTTTTTAATATTTTGTAACTTTTTAAATATTTTTGCATTTGCATTTGCATTTTATTTTATTTTATTCTATTACTTGTGCACTGCTGTCTTGTCTATTGTTACACTGTCTACTGCCACGCACCTACCCCCAAGACAAATTCCTGGTATGTTTGACATATTTTGGCAATAAATGTTTCCTGATTCCTGATCAAATCTGCGTCGCTATCTGTCCTGGTGACGGAGTTTTAATAATCCCATTCCCTTGTAAGAACTTCTTGAAATCAGTAGTTTAATAAGAGTGCTAATACACTAACCTAAATAACAACTCGCTCATGGAGAGATGGCCAAACATAATCCACCGCCGTCAGGTGGAACTAAAGACAGACAGTCGTAGTTGAGGTCGGACGGGTTTGACACACGTACTCGTGCCTGAGGTTTACGCACGGAGGTGTTAACAAGGCAACAGCAGTTTGGAAAATAGATTAGGACTAGTCAATTCGGCCGCAATAAAAATAATAAATGTCTGAATATGTTTTTAACCCCCCGTACTTCCAGCACGTGGAGGCTCGCGCCGTCCCCGCGCTGGTGGCCTGTTAACTGTCACTCGGGTCACGCGCTGGTTTCACAGCCGAACGGAGCAGCTCGTGACCAGGTAAACATCCGCGGTGATCCTCAGCCTGGTCCGGTCGACTGAAGGGTTAAACCGGTCCGCTAATCCTGCCCTCTGGACCGGATATGTCAGATAATCTCGTGCGGATTATGGAGCATTCACCTTTAGCCAATCACATTTAACCCAATATATCTGATAACAGATGTTACACTTTGAATCCACCAGGGGTAGTGGGAGAGTAAGAAAACGTACAGCAGCTTTTACAGCCTCCAGGAACGTGAAGGGAAAGTCCATCTGAAACTAGAAGGCACATTTCGCTCTTCCTGTGTCCTGAAACAGTAAGACCAGTAAAATGGACATTCGAATAGAATAAGACTTGGTGGATTTGATTACTCCAAAAGAAGCCTTGACTCAGAAGGTGTGACGCATTGATTCTGATGCAACGGGCTGGCAAGAGTTTACTGTAATGGAACTGCCTCATTATTTGCCTTTCCTGGATACACCTCAAGGTAACATTTTCACTGCTGCCTGTTTGCAGGAAACAAAAAGAAAAGCAAGACCTTCATGTCAGGCAGTACTGGACCGCTTTGACGAGCAGTACAGTCAGGAGCTTGGAGACTTGTGGGAATCTGCAAGGTAGATTTTTCAGAAACAATTGCTTCAGTTTACACAAAGACTGGGCTTGCACCAATAATGAATCTGGATTGCTTTTTTTCCTGCAGAGCAGTGCTCCTGGACCCTGGCTCTTGGCAGTATGGGGTCATGCTCAACCGCTTCAGCATCGTGACCGGCATTTCACAGATCCTCCAATCACAGGGCTTTTCCACACTGCTACCGCAAACGCGCGGCCCCGCGGTGCTTCCTAGCGGCCCCGCAGCGGTGTCACGTTCAAAATGCCGAGCGGGAAAAGGCTCTCTGTTGCCACCTGGCCACATCTCCAAGTGGCCTCCCAATGACTCCTATCTCCAACCTGACATCAAGTCTCCCGCTCGCGATCAAGACCTTGAATCGGAGCCCTCGCCCGGCTTGTCCCGTCCCTCACTACAGTGTTACATCCATCCACGTCCACTGCGGTTTCCCTCTCAGGCTCACAGGCTTGGCCAGCTGAAGCAGTACTTCCTCCTGAATGCCGCCTCTTTGCTTCCAGTGCTGGCTTTGAAAGTGCAAGATGGGGAGAAGGTGTTGGATCTTTGCTCGGCCCCTGGGGGCAAAGCCGTAGCCATATTGCAATGTGCCACTCCAGGTAAAACAAGCACTTTTCAACAACTTTACAAACTACTGTTTGATTAGTATTTTTTTGTGTCACGCAAAAAAAAGGGTACGGTTGATATCTAGTTAAAACTGTTATGTTTTTAGATATTGATATTTTTTATTTATACATTTTTTATCCTCTCATAGACATGTGAATTGCTAGTCTAAAGGTTCAAATAGCCCAATACTTTTACATTGTAAAAGGAATCCAAATAAACACCAAATTCCTTTTTTCTAGGAAACGTTTTTGAAGTTCCTCAAGCTTTTGCTCTTTATTCTACTTTGTACACTTTGTACATTGTATATTCATTTGTCCGCCGTAAATAGCCTATTTGTGTGGGATTCCGTCAACAAGTACCACTGCTCGTGTTCCAGCACTTCTCTGCTGCAATGAACCTGATCCTCAGAGACGGGACTGGCTGGCCAAAACCTTGGAGTCTTTCTTGTCCCAGTCGCTCACCAGCAGAGTGATCGTATCTGCACAGGACGGACGATCTTTTGGGCAAAGCGAGGCGGGAACATATGACAAGGTGGGGGCCGGTGAGCGTCATGTTTATGTCAGCATGTGACTGGATTTTGCTTCAGTGTGTGACGGATACAGTTCTTTCGAGGGCCGTGGTTTAAAATCTATGAGAACAGCACAACGCCAATGAGCTACGTGAAAGAGAAGAAATCTGTTTATTCAAATTAGGAGCCATGACAAATGAACAAGTAGATTTCAAAGGACTCAACGTGGCTGATGATGGACCTAAATATAGAAAAAAAAAAGGAAAGTGCAGAATGAAGCGGTTAGCAACACACAGTGTGACCAAAGACTGAAAGGCGTTAGCGGGGAACACACCGACTGCACGCAGATTCAAGCTCTACTGGGACGAAGGTTCTCAGCTGTGGTGTGAAGTTTTAACAGCTGGTGAGAATGTATCAAACTTCAATTATATTTCAGACCCTTTTGCGTTTCTCCCGCGATCCTTCCTGTGGCTCACTGCCGTCACGCTCTCTCTCTCTCTCTCTCTCTCCGGCTGTGCACTGCTCACATCTCTCTCTCGCTCCTGTGTTGCAGGTTTTGGTCGATTCTCCGTGTTCCAACGACAGGAGCTGGTTGTATTGTGGCGGTCAGCAGGGGGAACAGAGGCTGAAGGAGAGAGCCGGGCTGCCTGCGCTCCAGGCTCAACTGCTCAGGTGAGTCCAGTCCCCAACAAAGAAGAGCGTCTGCTGTGTGTTACCCCCGGTGTACCCTTCTGTCGCCCGACACGTTATTGCTCTTAATTTGGGACACGTGACCGTTAATGTCTGACGGCGGGCTGAAAAACAATTTTTTTGTTTGTACGGGCCGTCGTGAATCATTTTACTCCATACCTTTGCACGCAGAGCAATTGCAACACTATAATATAGAACTAGAGATATTTTCTTTTTTTGTTTGTTTCACGCATTCTTTGCCTTTTCTTACTTTGCCTTCCTTTTCAAACCCCCGACACCGACTTTACCCACAATGCAGCTCTAGAGTTAAGTCAGCGATTTTGGATGTGCAAAACCATTAGCAGTTCATGTTGCCTCAAGCAGACACCACAGAGCTCTGAAGACTTTCGCTTCTCCCTTAAAAAGACGTCACCATGTTGATCCTTTTTCGTACTTAAACTTAAAGTCTTCACACCCAAACAGCAGTGACTCAAGAGACTTCACTATAAGTCATTTATCACACTTGGCTCCCGCAAAAGTCCTCAAGTCCTGTAAGAAGTCTTTGATGGGCGAAATAGTTGTGTCTTTTGAAGTCCCTTGTCATTAAGTGCAGTATTTGTTCGCAGGTCCGCGCTGTCAGCCGTGCGTCCAGGGGGTGTTGTGGTCTATTCCACCTGCACTCTGTCCAGCTTTGAGAACTTTGCCGTGGTCGAGACAGTGCTGAATGACTGTCCTGAGGCTGAACCCGAAGACCTGTGGGAGGAGATTGGCATTCCTTTATCGGAACACTTTACATTTAGGACTACTCACCCTGGTGGTAGTCAGACGCCTCACAATGCATCCCTGCAACCGCACAACGCTCCCTCGTCCTCTTATCGCCACAGACTCGGCCTTTTAGTGGTTCCTCAGCCGGGCAAGACCTGGGGACCCATGTTTTTGTCTCGGATTAGACGAAGGAAATAGCGTGCATCCTCCTGTGCACAAAAGATACGTGGAATCAAATGGCTTAGCGGACACATTTCCTTCCTGCAACCTTTGCAACCTGTGGGATAGAATTACTGCCTGGAACTCAATCACATAAACTGACAAACACGCTGATTCGTTTTTGTGTTGCAAAACAAAACAATCAGTAATTTCAGGGTTAATGGTTTTCTTGTAGATGTTGCAGTCCACCCTCTTCTTATTTATTATTGCTATTTATTGTTCTGATTGATTTTTGAAGGTCTCTATGAAAACAAATGGCTCAACACATCAGAACAAGTAGAATTAGATGAAATCGACCAAACGTGTTTTTTATGAAGTGCTTCACATTAATAACAGTTTCCACGTTGAGTGATACAATTGATCATACTTTAAGTCAATGTTAAAAATGAATCCACAGTGGAGGATTGCATTAGGGGTGAGTGCCTATTCTGTGAGCATTATTTCTATTTGGAGAAAAGAAGGTCACATTAAATAACTTAAGTCTCTAAATCAAGTTGCAGTCATGAATTAGTATTGCATCTGGATTTAAGTCACCATCACATATTTTAAAAGTTTCTCTCTAAACACCTATGATTAATAATTATTAACTTATGTTTGTTTCTAAACATCCGTGTGCCGCAGCACTAATCCAAATCTCAACACATTGACATTGCATGACACATAATACTAGGAAGGCCAGTAATATATATATATATATATATATATATAATTAATACTTTCTGTTTTCTTGTCCTACTCTGAATTAACTCGTGCTTCGAGTCCCACTCGCAGAAATCTTTCATCTGTCCTCACACCTCCCCGCGGAGTGATTTCATCTCTTACAGCGGCTCATTACGTGGGCGGACGGTTCTCGTGTGGCGTGACTGAAAACTAGACTGTTTCATTGCAGGGCTGAAGCCTTTCATCCGGCTGTGATTGCTCAGACCAGAAGGCGAAGGTTGTTTTGAAAACAGCTGTTTCATACAACACACAAGGACACATTTTGACCCTTTTGAGAATAACAGACGGACTAAAGCTCACTGTTGAAAGGCAGTTGTTTCAGGTGAACGCCTTTATTTTCTTCCTAGATACATAAAGCCGGTGGTTGGGAAGCAAGAAAGCCTTTGAGACTGGATGTCTAGGATACGATTTCTGAAATAGGAACGGCCACTTGCACCGGTTTCAACCGACTACGCCGTGGTCACACGACACGATCATTTTTGGGGGGGATTTATAGAGCTGCCTTGATTGACTGTCCCACTTTCCCTCCACTTTGAAAAGAAGCTTTTGTTTCTGATTTCCTACAACACCGAGACTTCAACGCAGCTGTAAGGTGTCCAGATGTGGACATGAAGTGGGGCTTGGTTGAGGTTAATCGTGTGACCTTTGTGTGAACTCTGGTTTGTTGATGTTCCCCCCACATCGCAGTGTTTCCTCAGGGGGAGAATCTCTGAGCAGCTTCTCCTGCACTTCAAAGGGGCAGAATGTAGGCCTGCTTTGCATAATCAGGTGGAGAACAGCTTTTTGCCAGAGAGGCAGGAATTAATTTGTGGCACCGCCAGATGTAATCATTAAAACCCGAGTCATTGACAATAACGGGAGCCCGAGCAGGAGGAACTGTAGGGAAGGAGATGTGGGGTCCATAATGCCAGAGGACAATGTTATACATATTATTGGCATACGTGGCCAAAAAAGACAATTCTGGTTCAGATCAATTCGGACACAGGACACTCTAGAACATCTCCGATGTGCTACATTGATTATTCGCAGCATCAAACCTCTCAATAATCAACCCGTCAATCTGACACATCCTTCCCTGTGACAAATGTTTGACTTGAAGCGTTTGACACCAGACAGTCAACATTTGGGTGTATAGATTTAGTGCCGTTTGGGGTTTCCATCACTCATTTCAAACGTCATCATTTGTCAATATTCCATTAGTGGAAGTGAGAGGCTCTTGATTGATTGTCACACTACCACTCGTCTCTGGAGGGGGTAAAGTCAGCAAACGAATACTTACTGAGGTCAAGTCAAAGTGTTTGTCATCGGCACACAAAAGCTCAGGAGTTTTGTTAATTAGGCTTTTACCAGAATAAGCACATCGTGCTACCGAGCAAGAGGACACGCGACTGCAAAGAGAAGATCCATGGAAACCCTTTTCACAGGTAAATATGGACACATCAGGCAGTGCAAAGAAGAACTGTATCAAATTCATTGTGGCGCCAATTAAAATGCCCTCATAAGGAAAACGTTTGTTTACATCACTTGGATCCAGCCTTTGTGGTTGTACTGTTGATTAATATTGTATATTATTAGAAGCCACACAAGGTGGTTCATTTTTGTTTGGTATATACTTTTATTCAAGAGGGACTCATGAGCAGAAGAAAAAGCACTCAAGCATCAAGGGCCCCTCAGGACCGCAGAGTGGCCCCCGATGAGCTTCACCAAGAGCTGTTCCTCCGGTGAGCCTCGGCAGCTGCGAGGACAGAGACGTCCGTAAAAAGCCGCATGAGAAGACAAAGCAGGGGCTCCACCGACTGAGGCCAGCGCGGATTAGCCGACACAGGACATTCATTCATCCTTGATTTGAGAGAAAAGCTACAATGTCTTTTTTTCCGTTTTTGAGTAAATCGTTACACAAAATGTATAACTGGGAGTAATTAAAGACATTTAAAACAGTTAGTTCAGACCTCTGACTGTTAAACCGGTAACTATTCTCACAGTGCTTTGCAATCTTTTGCACTTGTGAACACTGCAAAAGGCACTTAAGACCACCCGATATCACAGAAGGAAAGCAGCAGGGAGCCCTCCTGATTGGAATGCATGTAGAGCAGAGTATAGTTTTCTACATCATAAAGTAACTTCATGTTCAGCCCAAAACAGTCTTGTTTAGACCTGGTGTTCTTTACAGAATGACAACGTTGCTAACATGTTCCATTTATTAAACAAGATAACACGAGAGACTTTAATTAAAGAAAATTAGGCCGTGAGACATGAAAACCTTTATCTGCCGCTCACGATAAAATGTAAATTTCGATGTAATTTAAAAAAAGGTAATAAAATGTGTTTTAATCACTTTTCACACAAGATTATGCTTTTTAACAACAAGCCCATCAGCCACTGTCTGAGCCTGGAGTCCTGCTTCGTTATCGGTTCAGCATTGTTTCATAAAGTACCTCTTTAATTCTAGTACTTCTCACGCGAACCCGCCTCATGGCTGCAGTTTAGCTGCATTTGATCCTCACAGGAACGTTCACTGAAGCCCGGCGTTAACACTTCTTTGACCTTTGCATGGATCCCAGCGGTACGTGATCGCCAAGAATGAAATGTTCATCCAGTCGGTGCACCCAGATTGAGTTGCCTCATCTCAATTTTTTCCTTCACTTCTGTTAAAGTTCCAAACTTCAGACCTTGTTGAAGTGGACACTCCGAGTGAAGGAGATGCATGAATAATAGATTCTTCACCCAAAGGGGATAAAAAAAGGGGAGGGGGAGAGGTAAGAAGAGGCTGATTAAAAGTGATAGATTTCACACCAATGCTTTCATATCGGTGGGGGATGTTAGTCAAGCGAATTCTCTCTAAATAAGAACATGTTCTCAGCACAGTACTACAGAAATAAGGAGGTAATTCAGAAATAATGGATCTCCCTCTGAGCCTACCTTTTAAATGCTATTCATCACATTTTCTGGAAATACTTAGGCACTTAAATAATGCATGTATTATTTCTTTTCAGCAGGTGGTTGTGTAATTTAGGAGATGCAGGGGGCCTCTTATTTCTACTTTGATAGAAACTGGGGCAGTGCGCTTTGAGACACACTAGGTTTATCATACGGTTTTGCTCGCTAACAGAACAATATAAATTGCTTCAGATTGGCCAAAAAGTGGTAATATTCACCATGTTCCTGATTCCGATGCTGAAATGTTCTAATTAGAACGAGGGGAATGGTTTCAGTTTCGGGACCATTGGACAGATTGAATCGTTGACCTCTTGGTGTCAGAGGATCACCTATAGGTGTCCCTCCTAAAGAGGGACGCGAATTACAATTTATCTCATAGTCGTTGAGATATTTCCTGTCCAGGCCGAAGTGGTGCTAATTGGACCGCCACCCAAACCGACCACCCGACTGGCACAGCCGCTGGTACGGAGGCACGCTGTGGTCGTTGGTGTGGGGGGGTCACTCTGCAGGCTTATTTCCAATTATAATGAGTCAGTAGTCGGTGTGCTGACCAGACAGGTTGAATGCCTGCCTCGTTGCGGAGGTTTCACAAGGCATACGGGAGGTGACGCCGAGGCCAATGTGGCGCATAATCTGAAGTCAGCAATGTGTCCTGTTTATCCTGGCTGTTGATTCTCTCTTCACCTGGCTTCCTGTCTCCTCAATGCCTTCACACTTGCTATTCTCTCGGTCTCCTCGTCGCTGGATGACATTTTCCTCTGCCGTCCCCTGTGTCTATCTGGCTGTCTGTTTCTCACCCCCTCTCCTCTCTCTCTCTCTCTCTCTCTCTCTCTGTCTCTCTCTCTGGAAGCCTTTGATCTTGCCTGCCCTGGCACACAGGTAGACAGTGGTGCTGTAGAGCTTTTCTCTGCCTATTAATGTCTTAACTATTGCTCTTCTTTTTGCAGGAGGCCTACAGAGACATCATTTCCCCTTACCACACGGCTTGGACACCCTTAATCTTAATCACACTGCGCGTGTGAGTGTGTGTGTATTTCAGAAGAATAAGGTAAGTTCAGACACATGAGAAAGTGAGGAGCAGGTTTAAAATCTGTGTAAACTGAAATAAACGTGGTGACAGAACAGAACCTCCGTCTCCTTCTGGCAACAACACAGACCGGTCTGCTCCACTGGTCCACACAATAAGATCCTCACCTTAGACATCGTGTTGCTGCATTGAATAAATTCATATATGAAGGTATTGTGATTCCTCCTATATTTTGCAAAATCAGGTTGTAATTATGTGGTTCTAAATGCTGAAATCATTAATCATTCCAAATGTCTTTGGCAATAAAGTAAACTGTTATATCAAGATAAATATCTCTTGTGCCAGGTGCCCAAATTGCTTTTCCCGTGTCACAGATAATGACATCAAGAGAGCACAATCCTCACAGTTGGAGCTTCACTGAAACAGACGTGAAATGGTATTCAGCCACACTGAACTTTGAATATAGTTTGGACGCTTTGGACGAGGAGACATTATTACTGATCCCACAGTCTTCATTGGCAGAGATTGGTCAGCTCTGTTGTGTTTATTCACAACGAAACTGGTGAAAGACTTTTCAGTCGAACTATTTTCAGTCAACATGACCCATCGCCAGCATTTGAATTATTTAATCATCATTGCACTTTGCACTACTCTTTTTTTGCCTCCACTTCTCTGTCTCTTCATCTTTCTCCTTGACCCCGGTGACTCTTTGATCATTCCTCAGAGTCGGGGTTCAAGAACCAGCAAACATGGAGCATGATTTCTTATTGTGGAAAAAAAGAAGATCTTTTAATTTCCTCTCTCCGGCTGCGCTCAGTATTGAGTTGTGACACCTGTAACATGAAAGGTTTCAGGACTGCAGCTGAGCTTTGGAACGATTCAGTGATCCTGGTACTTAACAACACAGGAGGGTAACTACCGAATGAAAGTAAGAGGGAATCAATTCACCATGGACCGTACTTGCTAAAAAAAAACGGCCGTGAACAATGCAGCATCTTGCCATCTAAGTTTCGTATTGAAATAGCTTAAGAAATGATGTTACGTCAGTTTTCATGCATCTGCTTTGCGGCTGCACATCCTTCCTCTGTGTCTGCCCCCCCCCCCCCTCTTAATCCTCTCTTTCCCTAAGTGCTCCCAGCGCAGAGCCTCGGGAATCCACACGACTTGATTGTGTTTTGATGTTTTTGTGAAACTTACAAGTGCACTCAGCACTCAAGACCCACAACAGACATTCTCAAGACCATTCAGCCAGAGGAGAAGCGAAAAGAAAAACAACAAACATTTACTAATACCGCTTTCGGTACACGCGGCATATTATGAACACAAACCATCCTGTACGTCGACTTGGATCCATTAGTAAATCCACGAATCCTGACCTGGTCAGAACATATGCAGGGTGTTACTGTGTTTTCCTTGTTATTTCTCTTGTTTTCCAATTATTTTAGTGTTTTTTGTTTCCCCTGTTTTTCTTCTTTCGTTCTGTATGTAATGATCAATTATTCTAACAATTTACCTACATGAAATTCCACCTTGTTGGGAGATGTCACCAAATTCTAATAATGGCTGAAAAGAAGAGAGGAGGTGTCAATCCTGTGAAGGTGGTACACGCCCACACAGGTCTGAGGCCACATTTACACATAGATTTTATAGCGGCAAGAAAATCCATTAACGGAACGACGCTTATTTTTCTTTTGCCATCCTTCTGAATTTCTACCTAAACTGATGCCAACCATGAGGAATGCATGACTGTCAAAGCCTCGGGGACAACAACGCACTGGAGGTCTAAGTGTGAAAACATAAACAGTCTTTTGCGTTGTTGCTGCTGTGCCACATTCATTATGCAGAGCTAGTTTAAATGAATAATGCAGGCGACTAAATGGTTCAACAGTAGTTAAATTATCATCATGAATTTTAGATGTATTATTAAAAGGTGCTTGGAGGTTTCGACAGTGAGGGGGTGCACGATCCCGTTGCCAAACTTGTAAGCAAAAACAAAAAAATCTTCAACAACAGAAAAAAAAAAACCCTGACAGTGAAACAATTTCAAACGAAAGATATACAGAAAATAAACTCACTCTTGTTCAAGGCAACTGAGGCATTGTCGGCTGAAGTGAGTTCAGGAAGAGAATGTGACAATACTCGGAAGGAGTCATCAGCATGTCTTAACAAACATCCGCTTTTTATTTTTTTCCCTATTGTTCCTCTCTCAATTAAAAAGTACTCCATACCACTTCAGCTCCCTTCAGCCCGTAACGTTCTGTCCACTTTCCTCTTGAAGAAAATTAGAGGCCATTTCCATTAATAATGACACTTTAATAGATACTCTTTGGCTTTGCACATCTTTTGCATATCATACCTGCTGAGTGTGTTCAGCGTCATGTGGTGAAATGGAGCCTTTCCCAGCATGCATTTGGTAAAAGACAGGTAAAACCATTGTCAGGCCGAGGCCAGCTCAATAGTAACGTTTTATCATCCATCCACACATCCTTTGAGAAACTAGAACCGTTATTAGTTTTTCATTACTATTTCATTACATAATTAGTCAACTATAGTGCGCACGAGTGTTTAATATGAGGCTTCATTTGTTATTTTACATTGACATTTCAGATAATGAACAGATAGAGCAGCCAGGTATAGTTACTGCAAGATGAAAAGGTCAAACCTTCTAATATTAAGAGAGAATGTAAAAGAGAAGAGGTGCAATTAATTTATTTTTTCCTTCACCAAATGAAAATGAATTGCATCCAGTGGTCACCACACCGAATAAACTATTGATTATGATTGAATTTCTCTACAAAAGCGCATTTTTTATACGGTTTCTCATTCCAACATCTATGGCACCTGTTGAAGACAAAGTGAAGTCAAATAAGGTTAATCGTGTTAGCTGAGAGCTAATGAGGTGAAAGATTCAGTGGAGATCTAGTAGCTGGCAGGAAGTAGAAAGACACACTGGGTCAAATGAGCTACCAAACTTTAA